AGGGCTTGGAAAAGTTCCCCCACACATCAAAGTGATTTTTTCATTTATGAGCTTTTATAACCTTGTTAATCAGGATAGTTGATTTGCTGCTGCACATAAACTGTCGGTCAGAAGCTCTGCTAGCCGGTTATCTTAAGAGGAGCTAGTTCAATTAGTTAGCTTGTTATCAGAATCATAGTTGCAGTTTCATCATCTGAGCTGCTTTTTAAGATCTAGGTAAACTTGTTCAATTTGGGCTTAAAACCAAACGTTTTCACATATTTTCCATGTAGTTTTTTTGCCAGTTCCTCTTCTGAAAGGTAGACGATTGTTTTTCCCTTTCCCTCAGAAAATCTTAATATTCTCCTAGTTTGGCCCAGCACAGTTCACTTCCCAATTACAGCAACAGCCTTATATCATAACCACATAAGTGGAGAAAATGCTCAATAGCAATGAGAGAATTTGCTGTTGCATTTAAGTGATGTTAACTATTATTTAACATTTAAACTTACTTTCTGATTTTTTATTTATTCAAAAAACCCTGGTAAGGGATGTTTTTCTGTATTTGGAGCATCAGAAAAAGTTTTATGGTGGAGGTGATGTTTTAAATCACTGAGAAACTGCATGCATGCAGTTTGTTGTTTTGCTGCTAATACAGTAGCAGGTGCAGCTGCATATTTTTGCAATAAAAATGTTATGTTGTAATGGAATTCATGCATTAGTTTTTATTTGCTTTGAACCCAGAGCAGACGTCTGGGTACTGCATACTTTAGTATTTGTTCATTTATCGTGAGTAATATCGATATCGCAATATTAAGCACTATTATCAAATATCGCAGGTTTTCCTAATATCGTGCAGCCCTAGCCAAAATAATACATCCCACACCGGGGTTATTATATTTTCCCTGACTCCTTTTACCACGGTCTCAATAGAATGACTGGTACCATGCACAACATTATTTGAAACTGTCACAATGGAATCAGCCAAAATTTCTCCAACTCCCCTTACAATTAAGCTCACCCCCCGTAGCGTGCCATTAACTCCGTATGCAAAATAGTCAAACCACTCGGCTTCTTGTTCGTCAAGACTTCTACGAAAGGGAGAGCAGTGTTTGGATAATCTCTAAAGTTAGGGAATTCTTTGGGCGTGTCAGGTTCAATTGTGTATCTTTCAGGTTGAGGATTCTTTCCTATTCTGGGTTCGTTAAAGCACACATGATGATCTATGCCTAATCCATTAAAGTAATTAAAATTTACCAGACTGAATGCTCCCCACTTTGTTGTTTCTGGGGTCGTAAACCCGGGGGGCACTAAGTCTCTTACTTTGTCACCCATGATCATTATACGATCTAAGAGGCCATTCCCCGTCTTAGTATTATTCTTTTCCCATGTGTTAGTTTTATCTATAGCAAACCAATTTGTCTTGACCCGGAGCTGTCCATTTTCAAACACCAGCGTCTTAGTTCCTATTAATTTTCTCTCAAAGGTTTCTGCTTCAATCCGTGTGTCCTGGGGATAGGGCTGGGCAATATGGCAAAAATAGAATATCACGATTTTTCCAATATTTTATCACGATTTCGATTTTATCACGATTTTTTATCCATGAATAGCATAACTTCAATTGCGTATTAAAGAAGAGAAACATTGAATAAACAAACATTTATTCATATTAGGGATAATCAACACAGTGCTAACACACTTATATTTTAAACTCACACCAGACATGATAAAAGCCCTGAGAGAAACAATTACAAAAATCAGTTTTTCTCGTTTTTCAAGTAACTTAACATAAATTAAAATCGTAAACATATTTAAAGTGCAAACATGTCAATTGCAAACGTATTGTGCAAACATTAACTTGTTCAAAATACTATGTAGCTCCCAGTTGCTCATGTAGTGGATAGTTAAGCTCAAATAAGGCTCTGATGTGCGGCTGGACCAGAGATCGCTTGTAGTAGCAAAAAACTGCGCATTCTGAATATTTTCTGCAACTCTCACTTTGCATTCAGCGTACATGCGTGGAATGGCGGTGTTCGAAAAATACTTGCGACTGGAAAACTCGTAGCGGGGATCCAATGTTTTTATCATTTTCTTAAATCCCGCTCCTACTGTTCGCACGGGACACAAATCTTTAACCAAGTGGTACGTCACTGCATCTGTCACGCTGTTCCATCGTCTGCTGTCTCTGTCGTAAGGAGTGAGTTTTGTGAGTGTTTCTGTTAGCGTTTGCTGCCTGGAAGAAGCACTAGCCGCTGCAGCCGCAGGCTTTTTAGCTTTAGCTGCCAGCTGGCTCTCATTGTATTGATTGGGATGCCTTCTTTTTAAGTGATTAAACAAGTTTGTGGTTTTGCCATCACTTGCCTTGATGCTCTCCTTGCAAACTTTGCAAATGACGTTTCGCTGCTCTTTGTCATCTGGTGAAAAACCAAACCAGTTCCATATAATGGATAGGGATGGGTACCTTTTGGGCCATTCCCATCTGTACCGGGTCGGTCCGGGCCGGGTAGCCCCAGTCGGCCCCAGTCGGCACCAGCCTGGCCCGGTTGATTCCACACATCCTTGCCTTAAGCCCATGTGGGCTGATTCTACCCACCAATCAGAGGCTTGCTCTAATGGAAGGTGTGGATTTGCTGTCAGCAGTGGGTGTGTTGGCCCTGGTCGGCCTGAAGCAGTACCCCTCGAGAAGAGGGCTGAGAATGAGCCTTGGTTGGCCCGGAAAAATACCAGGCCACCCTTGGTGTTATTGCAGACTTCAGCCTGACATCCTTCAAGCATTACTGTGTAATTCCTTGCCCAGGTTGGGCTATGATAAAAATCTTTTTTATGGCTTGGTCTAATAATTTCATTTACTGCTTCGAATATGGAGTCTGCCTCGATTTTATTGTCAGGAGTAGCTGTCCCTTTTTGATAATACGCCCGTTATTCTTAGTCTGAGTGGTTCTCCACCTTGCCATAAGGCACTATCATTAGCTTTCTTAGTTAAACACTTCCTGGTTTCTTCGTTCCATGCATTGGAACCCTGTGTCTAAGTTAGTGGGGTCAGATTGATTCTTTTTCATCCACTGCGCCACTCCTGGATGTTTAAAATTTGGAACTTGATAGACCCATTCGGTGTGGAGGGTGTCTCTTATCTTATGTAGTTCCCAACCCTGCGGCTGAAGGCTCACCTCGTTGTGAAGGCTGAAAAAGGTCCAATTAAAATATGTACTATTAATGGGAATTACATAATTCTGATATCCTGTGTAATTTGCGTACTCACTGTGACCTTTTCGTAAAAGCCGAGCTAGCTCCTGTGAGGTAGATCTCTTGTTTCTGCCCCCGGACTCCGGAAAGAGAGGAACAGTTTCTTCACCTTCCTGTCTCTTCCATGGGACCAGTTACTGTAGGGGGCACTCTTAATAACCATTTAATCACATTATCTTTTACATTCTGCCACATGTGGCTTTCTTCTATCAAAGACAAAGAATCGTGTTCTCATTCTGTTTACGCCAAATTCTGACTCTACCATTTGAATGTCTCAACAGAAATTGTTTCTTTCCCATTCTGACATTCAGTTTGGAGTTCAGGAGGTTGTCTTGACCAGGACCACACCCCTAAATGCATTGAAGCAACTGCCATGTGATTGGTTGATTAGATAATTGCATTAAGGAGAAGTTGAATAGGTGTTCCTAATAATCCTTTAGATGAGTGTAGTTCAAAAGGCAAAAAATAATCTCAACTCTGTGTTGTGAGATTTAGGATATGATTATCATTATTATATTTATTTACTCAATACCTGTAGCAGCTCCTAATGAGCAGAACCAACTGTCATCACAATGACACTGAGCATAATGCTCTTTATTATTTTATGAGTTACAGATGATCGTTGGTTGCTCCGTGTTTTTATTTCTGCAGCGAGCTTTACAAACTCGCCTCACTCTACCCAGAGTCATCTTTAAAACTCGTATTAAATCTACTGTCTTCACGCATTTTAACTAGCTTCCTCCGCGCCATATTTTTGTTGCAGGATACAAACTTAACAACAGTCTCATGGAGTTAAAGTTCAGCAGATATGTTTGTTTACATTTTTGCCGCTGCACACCTACAGTCTGAGGGAAAGGAAGGAAGGGGGCGATGCGATGCTGCATATAGGGTATCTCTAGGCTCCACAGTAGCAGCGAAGGACAGCTGGTTTGACCGACTCTGAGAGGCGTTGATCAGAATTTGCAGATCACGTTTTTTTAACTGACATTTATTCTGCAGATTCTTCTTCCGGTCAGCGGACTGGGCATCGAAGCTAGGAATCGAAACTTAAATCTTTGAACGTTTCTGGGGAAAACTGACAGTTGGTCCCGGTTCCAATTGATGCTCGATGCCCAACCCTAATCCCCTCTATGTTTTTGCAGTCTTCAATCTTCCGTTTATGCCTTCTACCAACTGACTAGATTTTACTAACAAACCCCAGTAAATGTAATCACTGGCGCTTGCCTTTGTTGCTGAACAGCGTGCTAAACTAACTAGCATCTGAAGCCAACATGTTTCAAGCCTAGTACTAGAATGCTAAACGGGTTACGTGACGAGTTTGATACAGTAAATCTGTTTTAAAGGCTAAATCAAATTGCATGTTCTTTCATGTAAAGATGAGGAAACACATTTTACTGTGTATTTCAACACAAGGTGACCTGGAGCACAGCGCTGTTGAGTGGGCTGGCTCACGGTGTGTTGGCGTCCTTCGGGTCCTTTCTTCAGTCTAGTAGTGGTGGCAGTTGGCATCACAGGTGCCGGATACTTTTTGTTTTTATTTTTTTATCGGTTTCTAAAAATATTTTTGGCCGATGGCCAATATAGGAGAAATTTACTATATCGACCCGATATATTGGCCAGTCGATATATCGACCGGCCTGTAGTCTGTTTCCCTCCAGACATTTATTCAAGAGTTTCTTAAAATCTTTCTGACTTTGTGCATTGAGTTTCAGTTTGGTGCAACTGATTCTAGGTGTTGAAACAAAAATAACCTGATGTCTCTTTAAACTCTGTCCCAGGTGTCCCCTGGAGTCTATTATATCTTCAGCTCCAACACTAATATGAGCAGCTCTGTAAGTATTCTCCTGATCTGTTTGATCTCTGAGCAACTCAAGCTGGTCCAGGTGGGACAAGCTTTGCCTGCTGCTGCCATGATCTTCTGTGTTTCAGGCTCAGAGGAAGAGTCCCCGGGTCCTCAGGACCTACAAAAGGTCAAACAGAGCAGCAAATGTCAGGACAAAGACTCAAAGGGCAGTGAATATCAGTGACCCTGCTCCCCCCACAGACCTCATTGATGTAATGAACAACACTGAAGATGGTCAGTGCCATTTATACCTACCTTATCGGTTTATGGTCACATGACTTTGAAGTAGCATTATCTGTTCAGGTGTGGAGGAGGTGGTGGATCTAACCTGTGATGGATCTGAAGCAGCTGTGGTCGACCTAACGGCCAACAATGATTCTGTGCTGGTAAGAGACACACGCACGCACACGCACGCACACACACACACACACACACACACACACACACACACACACACACACGGAGCTGCCTGTTAACTCTTCCTCTTTTTTTTCCTTTGCTGTGACATTCTAGCTGGTGGATGAAGGTAAAACTCTGAGCTCCATAGTTTGATTGTCTTATTTTAGTTTACATTAAATGAAAAAGCAGACCAACATATCTGTGTCCTCAATCAGGTCCTCAGAAAAGGAGAATTCCAGAAGGTGAGAGCTATGTGCTCAGCAGTGATGATGAAGACACACCCTCTGTCCTCCTTGCTGCCACAAAGTCCATGGCAAACACCTCCAGGTAATACACTGATCCCTACTGATAGCTAGGGGTGGGTGATCTGGCCGAAAAGTCATATCACAATATTTTAGATTCTTCTGACAATGAAGATTAATCTGAAGATTAAAAAGCACCAAAGACATTTATTCATTCATCTATCTGCACCAATACCAGGGCCCTATGAAATCAGTTTTATTTTATTGGGGGGTGTAACGGTGGCACAGGAGTTAAGTGCTCGCCCCGTAATCGGAAAGTTGCAGGTTGGAGGCCCGCTCAGTTTGTTGTTGTCATTGTGTCCTTGGGCAAGACACTTAACCCCCCTTGCCTGCTGGTGGTGGTCAGAGGGCCCGGCGGCTCCTGTGCTCAGCTGCCTCACCTCTGTCAGTGCGCCCCAGATCAGCTGTGGTGTGAATGTGTGTGTGAATGACTAATTGTGTTGTAAAGGGCCTTGGGATGCTCCAGGACTCTAGAAGGTGCTATATCAAATACAGGCCATTTACCACTTTTCCTTTCTTTTTTTCAAAATTTTATTCTTTTAAATTGTGCATTTTCATTATAAGCATGTTTATTGACCTAAAAGTGTGTAATTATAAAGTGAGTGAATAATAATTTCACATCTCAGTAGCCACAAAATTCAAAATTATTGTTATTTCACTTTCACAACTATAACAAAGATCCATGGCTCTGCAGAAAGTTAGGTGTTTTTGTTAAATCAGACCTTAGCCATCAGTGGTTCTGAATCGGATCTTGTTGCTAACCTAACTTAGATCCTGACAAAACCATAGTCCTTCTTTTTTCCTGATCAGGATCTCATTGAGATTCATCTCATGATAAAGGACGGTTTTTCTGTGGATTGACTCCAGTAAACCAGTAGCACTCTCTGAGCTACTCTCTCTCTCTCTCTGAACACTGTTTAATTTCTTTTTTTTATTTATTAATTATTATTATTTTTATATATATATTTTAATCCCTATTCGGTGTTATAAGTTTCGCAGTGTCCTTTAAACCATTGGGCCTTAGACTCCTTCCACTTTGCATGGACATAATTGCAGTTTTAATTTCACCTGCAGTAAATGGTTATCTAGGTGCACCGCAATATCTGAGGCAACTGTCGGGATCATCAGTCCATTGGCAAATTTTCAGACGTACAAAGAGACGAATAAAAGTCCCTAAATCGATCATTAATTTTCTGGGGGTCGGTGGAAAACTCATCAATTCCTGAGATCTCCGAGATACACTGCCCAGTAGAGGACTGGCGGATCCAGTGGGCGAGGACTTTAGTTGGCTTATCCCCAAACTCGTAATAACTATGCTTGGTCCTGGTGATTAACTGGACAGCCTCATCAGTGGCCATAGAAACGAATTCATAGTTCTTTATTAGAGGCTCTTTCACCAGATCAGCCGATGGGGACTCTTCACTCTTAATTTGCAGCTCTGATATAGTGTCGTAAAGAGCCTGCCTCCTCTGGGAGACTATCTTATTTTTATAAGCAGTGTACGCTATTATCTTCCCCCTTAAGAAGGCTTTACAAGCTTCTTTTATCGTTGCTGCCATCACATCTGGGGTTACAGTGGTAGAGATATAAATATCAATACTCTGATTTATATCATCAACAAGGTCTGAATCATTAAGTAGCGAATAATTGAAACGCCAGGGGAAACGCATTATTGGAGTATCCAGAAATTATATGTCCAAAATAACCAGAGCATGATCCGATATCACTACAGCGGCATAATCACAATGGTCAACCAAGGAGAGAAATTTTTTATCTACCAGAAAGAGGTCAATTTGTGAAAAGGTTCCATGTACATGAGAAAAAGAATTTTTGTTGTGGCAGAATTCAGATGACGCCAGACATCCAGAACTCCATATTGCTGCATAAATATTTGTATTGCTTTTGCTGATTTAGATCTAGGACTTGGGTTAACTGAGCTGTGATCCAATGCTGGGTTAAGACAGCAGTTAAAATCACCGCCCATGATAAGCTGGCCACTGTTCAAATTGGGAAGTGAGAAGAAAAGTTTCTTAAGTCCTCATTATCCCAATTCGATCCATACACATTGGCTAGAACTACTTTATTTCCTCCTATTTTACTCACAAAAATATAACGCCCATTGGGGTCTGACACCACCTCCGTGACTGCTAGAGGGATATTTTTGTGGATTAAGATGGCTACTCCTCGCGCCTTTCCATTAAATGAAGAGTGGAAAGTTTGCCCCACCCACCCACAACGCAGTTTGCTCCATTTGTGCGAGCATCAAGACAGCAGATGCCCCGATGAGCTGCATGACGGATTGCTCATTTAGATATTCCACACATCATGACCGGCAATCACTGAGCGGGCCAGTTTAACTGCCAGGCCACCGGGAAATCTCCCGTTCCTCCCGATTACCTGTCTGCCACTGAAGAGATGTGTGTTACCTTAGAAAACGTGGGTGCAATTTTAATTATTAGCCCCCCCCCCCCCCCCCCCCCCACGTGTTCCGGCATCTGTTTTGCCTTTAGTGAACTTTGGTTTGACGTCAGTATTTACATTCCAGGAACGTTTGATTTACAAATTAAGAGCAAGTCAACCCCTACCAGAGTCTAACTCCACTCCCACTTCATGTTTGAAAATTGCAACAAATGCTGTTGCCTGGCAGACCGAGAGGGCGGAGCTGCTAACAAATACACACACACAGGCTCACAACAGCATTGTGACATCATAATGTACCAGTTTCCATCATAGCATACCTCTTAGCCAATAGCGGTGGCAGATTTAAATTAAAATACAGTGCAGAATTTTTACCTGACAACGGCATAACACTGCCAGTTTTAGGCAGAATATTTAAATTTTAACTAAGATGCACTGAAGTGCCAAATTATAGACGACACGTGTCAGCAGCACGATTAGAAACTCGTTTATTTAGTTTATCAGCAAAAAAAAGTTTATTTGGGGGTGACTTGCTCTTTAAGCACTGGGATAAACATAGTTGTTGACTTTGTCTCACTCTCTTCCTCTCACTTACTCTCAGGTCAGCCCCGGGTCTGATCAGCTGTCCCATATGTCTGGACCACTACTCAGAGGTGAGACTCTCGCACAACTCCAGAAATGTTAATTGATTTTTCACCTGTGCAGGTAAACTTAGAGCAGTGTGTGTGTGTGTGTGTGTGTGTGTGTGTGTGTGTGTGTGTGTGTGTGTGCGTGTGCGTGTGTGTGTGTGTGTTAAAGGCATGCAGTAATGTGACATACCTTCTTTTCAGCTACACTGGTCCTGTTCTCTGATTTGCTGTCGTTTCTTCCTCAGATTGTTGACAGCGGCCGATTGGTGGTTTCTACAAAGTGTGGTCACGTGTTCTGCAGTCAGTGTCTTAGAGACGCTCTGAGGACTTCACACACTTGCCCCACATGCAGAAATAAGCTCACCTCCCGCCAGTACCACCCTCTCTACGTTTGACATCCCATTATTTTGACATTGTCATCCAACCATGCTTGTATCTGAAGGTCAACACGATGTTATTAAAATATGATGCATTCTTTAACTCAAAATCTAAAAATGTCTTTCAAAGATGAGTTTATTTTATTTATCTTAATTTCAAATGTAATAAGATTTTTGCTGCTAAAATAAAACAAAATAAACCAATGAACCTTGAATGTTCTATCTGAACTCAGAGGATAAATAAGGTGGCAGCTGGCTCCACCCATCATGATGTGGCACCTCTTAGGACTAGTCTCACCCATCACAACGCACCTTCTCTAATATGTCATCATTCCTACTGCCACCATTTTGTTTTCACTCAGATTAAAGATGATGAACCAACGGAGACACACATAGGAAAAAACTGAAAAACAACAGAAGGAAACTAGCCTGGCAAGCCAGACAAATACATTATTTAGTCTGGCAATGCTTCATTGACAGTTCTTGGTTGTGGAGCTGGTTCTTTCATTGTCTTTCAAACGATCTCATGTACATGCAACGTGTCTTAACTCACCGCAACAGGTGTAGGTAAACGAGGCAGTCCGCTGTTGAAGGCGAAATATATCCTTTTTTCTAAATAAAGGACTTGAATACATCTATCTGCTCCTCATTCTAATAAAGCCCAAGTCCAAATAGTCCTAAATTGATGTAAAGGCTGTTTCAAATGACCTGTCGCCGCATTATCCCGTCCACCAGACAAATAGAGGGCCCTGATTCGCCCACAAAGTGTTCTATCAGTTTGAAACCCCTATAAAGAGCTGTGATTAGCTCGCCAGAATGCTGCTAGGGGCCGCAGAGGTTCCATTGGAGTGTTCCTAGACCAAACTTTGCAAAGCAATAATTTGGTCTTGTTCACTAGGCTAGAAGGAAACCGCTTTGGTACTTTATTTAGAGCTGGTGTCTGCCGATCTAGACATTGGACTGGTGTCTATAAACTACTGTAAACACTGTATTTTGTGGGAGGAGCCTAAGTGGTGGCAGAAAGTGACAACTTGTGTTTGTGTTCTAGCTAGTTTTTATGCTAAATGAATCATTGTGATGTATGTTCAGAGTATTAATTTTTTTACTGGTGGAGACTTTGTGAGGCTTTAGCAATTAGTTGTTATCTGACCTGTGCTCACTGTTCAGTCAGTGGGTTAGGCTACAGTGGTCAGACATTTACATTTGTTTCCACGGGGTAAATTAGTAGACATACTGGGATACATTTCCATTGCTATATTAGTGATGAACAGTTCAATTTAACCATGAATATGTGAGGACCACTCTAGGAAAAAATGTAAGAATTCTTTATGATCATGCGTACACGCATAACAAAATTTTGTTGGTAGCTCTCAGAACGAAGGCACACATTTCTACACAAAAGATAACAAAATGGCAGTAGTAATCTACTTCTTATTAGTAAAGTAATATTTGTAAAAGGTTGAACATAAAATATTTCAGAAAATATCTTCTTTGGACATGACATGTCTTGCCTGGACTGTTGGAGGACATATTGACAAGGACAGCACAAAAAGACAATGTTGCATGTAAGGACAACGCAAACATTGTTTTTTTTTATCTGGTCCTTAGTTGGACAGTATTTATCACCACACACACACAAGTTAATGTAAAGAAATGAATGTAGCTGATAAACATCAGTGTTCCCAAGTATGGTTTTGCTTTAGCTTTTTTAACCGTTTTATTGCTAATGATACATAATTACAAATCTGAGGTCCTAAATGAGAACGAGGATTCCATTACTTACAGTTATTGCTGCCATAAATTTTGTTTCAATAGAAATGACGACTGCTTAACCCTGTGGGGTCTTGTTCCTTACACCCCAGTCTGTCCATTCTGGTTTTGGTTCAAAAGATTTCTTCCTGTTCAAGGGCAGTTTTCGTTTCCACTTTTGCCAATAGGGCTTGTAAAAAATAAGTATTTGTGTCTGGATTTTATTAAAAATCCAACAAAGGAAAAAGAGAAAGGGTATAAGGAATACAAAAATCAATTAACCACAATAGTAAGGAAGCAAAAAAAATATATTTTTTTAAATACTATGATGAGCTACTTCTAAAACATAAAAACAATATTAGGGGTACCTGGATGGTGTTAAACACACTAATGGCAAATAATAAGAAGCAGGTATAATGACTAACAATGAAGATAAGAACATTGTAAATGGTTTAAATAATTATTTTGTGAATGTCCCTAATTTAGCTCAAAAGTTGACAACTATTAAATAATTAATACTAGTATGGTGTTTCTAAGTGGTGTAAGCCCTAGCGATGCTTTACAAGTAGTACACAGATTTAAAAGTAAAAAGTCCTTGGTTTTTCATGGGATAGATATGTTTCTCATTAAGGAAGTCATACACTGCATCGTTCAACCTGTTACTTATATTTGCAATAAATCCTTTTTGAGTGGTATAGTTCCTGAACAAATGGAAATAGCCAGTTTTTCCTATTTGCAAAAGTGGTGATAAGACACTAGCTTGCAACTATAGACCTATACTACTGCTGTTCTCAAAGGTATTAGAGAAACTTTTTGAAATTCGACTTGGAAGCATTTACCAACAAGTTTGATCTTTTAAATGACCATCAAAGTGGCTTTAGGAAAAATCGTTCAACCTCATTAGCAGTCATGGAATTTGTAGAGCATAATGCAAAAGCAGTTGATCAGAAACTAAATGTAGTGGGTGTTTTAATTGATTTGAGCAAGGCTTTTGATACAATCAACCATACACAACTGCTTAAAAAATGTGAATAATATGGTCTTCGAGAAAAAACAAATCAATGGTTGCAAAGTTTTGTAACTGTCAACAATAGGGATTTGCAACTTGATAAAGTAAAATGTGGTGTGCCACAAGGCACAATTCTAGGACCAAAATTATTCACGCTTTATTTGAATGACATATTTTCTGCATCGACTCAGTTAAACTTTATCACGTTTGCAGGTGATACAAACTTTCTTTGTACAGGGAAAGACATGAAAGAATTACTGCAAATGGTAGAAAAATATTTTTTTAAATAAAAAAATGGTTTGATCATAATAAGTTATCATTAAATTAAAACAAAATTCAATTTATGATATTTTCAGGAAACGGAGATAATGATGATGCTAAACTATACTTAAATGGTGTTCAAATTGAACGAGTACACATAGCTAAAATTTTAGGGGTGACTGGATAGTAAACTTAGTTGGAAACCACATATTGGATATATCAAATGTCAAGTTTCAAAATCTATTGAAATACTCTACTAATCCATCGACATACTAAACAAAAAGGCTTTGTTTTTGATTTACAGTTCTTTAGTTTTGCCCTTTTATCATACTGTGCTGAGATTTGGGGAAACGCATGGAAAATATGTATATAGTCTATTTGAAGTACAAAAAAAGCCATTAGAATTATTAACAAAGTAGAATATCTTACACCAACCAACAGTTTTATACTAAATAAAAGTTTAAAATTAAGTGATATTGTAAAAGTTAAAATCTTTGAAATTCTCAATTGAGTAACTAATAACAATATCACAAATAGTATAAAAGATTTTTTTTCTTCAAATTTAGAGATACCTATATAGAGATATAATCTTAGAGGTGTATTTAATTTTGAATGTGCTAGAGCAAAACCTAATGCTAATTCAAGATGTGTCTCTGTTATTGGTGTGTGAAATTATGAAATGAGTTAAATGATGAGTTGAAGACATGTACTTCTTTACCAATATTTAAAGCATATGTTGGGTATGAAATACTTAAAGAATATGAAAAGGATGTGTAAAATATTAATGTTTTTTTCTCTCTTTTATTCAGCACATACATACCTGCTGTAGGTGGAGAATAGGCCAAAATAAGCATTGCTTCTGCCTATTCCTTTTTTGGTTGTAATTCATGACGTTATCGTGATGTATCTTAGTTGTTTGAAGATCTTCTCTGTAAACATGACAACCAAAATAAAGGATCGATCAATCAATAGCCGGGTGCTGCCCAGGATAGAGAATTGCTTTGGATTGATCCAATCAGCTGGTTTCTATTATAGAAGCAACTTTGACTGATTGGAGATGTAAAACCTTATGGACCTGATTCTGGTGCAAGGTGTTAACTGGTTTAAATAAATATTTGTCTCAATGTCTGTAATTCATTCAGTTACCTGGTTTAAAAGTGGATTCATTTGGCTATTAATCAGTCTCACTGGAAGAACCTCACTCTAGCTCCAGGATGCTGAGAGCACTGATGCATTCTGGGATTGTTTAACTTTGTTTTAAGAACAATAAGAAATCCAAGCATGCATGTTTATCATTGGACCAAAGCAATAAAAACAAATGATTACAATTAAATAATTGAAATTAAATGTTAAATTAATTTTACCTTAAGGTTGTTGAAACCTGATTATGTAAACATCAGAGCTCTTTATACAATGTAGTCAGAAAATATTTAGCTAATTCTTCCATTAAAAATCTTTGATTCCATAAATTGTTTTTAGTCAAGCTGACAAAACTGAATAACTGTTTCAAATGCAGTGACTTTCACTACATTGACCTTTAAAGGCTTTAAATGAGAGGTTTGGGTGGTTTTCAGCTTCATCTTGTGATTCTGAGTCAGCAAGTCATATGACTCATGCTGCTGCTGATTGGCTGCAGCGGCTGGGTGACATCACAGATGCAAACAAACATTTGATCAAAACAGAAGCTCATGAGACATTTGAAAAGAGTGATGCAAGGATGACTCAGGTGTTTGAGGAATACTGAGAGTTTGACTTATGTTTTACATTTCATATCCCATCTAATTGTTTACAACTGGACAGCAGAAAATCAGCTTGAATCTGGACTGATTAGAGCAGGATTTGCAGATTGCTTTCGTTTTAGCTGTAGATTAATTCTGTAAAAGTGTGTATGGGTTCTTGACTCTGTTGTAGTAATTACGGACTGGGGTTATCTTCAGCAGATAATTAACAGAAAAAGCATGTCGGGGTTGAAACCAAAGCTCAGTTAAAACACACACAAACATGCATGTTTATGTTTCTCTGCTGGATTTCTAGACCTGCAGTTGCGTTCTCAGCTGGATCCACTCATTTAGGATTTTCATATTTTTTTATTAATAAACTACAAATCAATCACTTTTCTAACAAATAAAACAATGTGCCACGTCACAATGACTAAGCGGCTTTCCCAACTAACACCTGCTCACGTGACTAGTTGGAAAGTCCCTCACCGTGCTGTGTAAAAAGATGTTTCTAGACGGCAATGGTCCCTCATTAGCGGAGCTCAATGAGGACCAATGGGAGGCTGTGTGCGTCTTTACGTCATCTTAAGACGATGACATAGAATGCGGAAGTAAACATAAAAGAGGCTGAAATTTACCGCTGCGTCACAAAGTTCTAGAGTTTGGTTCTCCGTTTGGTTGTTTTTCTGTCTCTGTTCGGAGTTTGGTTCGATTGAGTTCGTAATGTCGGTGACGGTGAAAGCCTACTTGCTGGGAAAGGACGAGCAGGTGAAGGAGATCCGCAGGTTTGCGGTGGACCAGGACGTCTCTTGCAGCTTCGAGTACCTGAGCAGGAAGGTGGCGGCAGCTTTCTCCAACCTGAGCAACTTCAACCTATTCTACAAGGGTGAGGCGCTTATATCAGAGCTGGTTCTGTTTCAACCCAAACACTGACTGGATTTCTGCTGCGTGTCTTTCTGGTTCTGGATTGTTTTTAATATTCTGATGAATGATGTTTGGTGCCACCTGATCTGTGCTTGGACTTGATGTTTGAGTTATGGTGTTTTAGATGAAGATGGAGACCTGGTGGCCTTCTCCTCTGATGATGAGCTGATGATGGGACTGGGTTTTGTCAAGGACGCCACCTTTCGCCTCTTCATTAAAGGTAAACAAGTCGTCTTCCTGTTATTTCTCTTTGTAAGGTTCCATCTGACTAAAGTTTTGTTGAACTCTTGCAGAAAAGAAGGAGCACCGCCGGGACTTCCCTCTTCATGCATTCCCCCCTTTCGCTTTCGGGCTCCCTCATCAACATGGACCTCCTCATGCCCCACCTCCTCACCCGGGCCCGCCCCCTGCCGTCCATCCCAACGTCACCTGTGACGGCTGTGAGGGCCCTGTGGTCGGAACGCGCTTCAAGTGTTCAGTGTGTCCAGACTACGACCTTTGCTCCACCTGCCAGGCTCGAGGGACCCACACTGAGCACCCTCTGCTGCCCGTGTGGCACCCTCTACAGGTGAGTAACCTGGATGACAGGTGTCAGAGCTCAGGTCACCACTGGCAGGTGTCAGAACAAGTCACATTTCCTGATTAAAATGTGATAAATCAGTGGTTTTCTTAAAATTTTATTTAGCAGTGGTTTCCTCGAGGAAAATGGATGAAAAAGATGAAACACTGCACGTGGAACCAGCACATGGCCCAGGCACAGACCCAAAACCAGGACCAGGACCAGAACCAGAAGCAGGAGCAAACCATTCCCTCCAGCTCAGCATCTGACTGCAGCACCTCCTCTGGTAGGTGATGTGAACAGATCTGTGTTTATGTACAAACTGGTCATCAGTCAAAAGGAGTCCAACTCAGAGCCATTGTCCAATAACAGAGACTGACCTCTGACCTCTGTAGCTTCTCAGGTCAGCGTGAACTATTTGAAGAACATTGGCGAGGGCGTGGCTGCCATGCTGAGCCCACTAGGTGAGTTGTTTTACCTGGAGATGTTTTTAATGTGCAATAAACAAGAGGGAACTCATCCTAATGCGCACACGAGTGTCATTCGGACATTTAAAGTCATTTTAAAGTGCTGTTCTGTCAATTTAGATTCCAAACTACTGTTTCTAGGAATAGGAAGTCCTCTGACCAGAGCATTACTTTTGGCTAGCTGGATCTGTGACATTAGAAGCTAATTTCCAGGATTAGCCAGAAGAAAAACCTCAATGTCCTGCTTTTCCTAATTGGCTGCTCCACTTGGGCAGAGTGAAAACCCAATGGCACACAGGCAGTAGCATAGTATTTCAAACGTTATTAGAATGAAACAAACAGCATAAACTAAAGAAACAATCTCATGTAAAATTGTAGGGCTTTAAAAACTGCTAATATAGCGTGCTAACGCGTCACTATGGGTTGTTTTTAAACACCAGAAACGACATATTATTTCATTACCAAGCTGACTAGTTAGCCTCTGTTCAGAGGAGCACTTTGTTTCACCTTCGGTGATGTCACCTGCAGGCAGTGTCTGTACTGTAGATATATGACCTATTGACCATCCCTTCAGAAAGATCAGAATATCACATTTAACCGTTTCTATTAAACTTCCTGACAACAGAATCCTGATGAAGTAGGGACTTTATCTGTGCATGTGCAGGTATTGATGTGGACATCGACGTGGAGCATGAGGGGCAAAGGATGAAGGTGACTTCACCTACTCAAGGTGAGGAAGAGCAGGGTGAAGTGCAGATGGATGTGGGAGCTGGCGAAAGTGGAGCCAGCAATGAAGGTGGAGCAAAGCAGGGGCCAAAGGTCAGTCTTCCTCAGACAAAAACTAATAGATCAGTCTAATTAATGACAATTACTGACCAAATACACAAATCTGCAGGTGGGCCGAGATGAAGATGATGAGTGGACTCATCTCAGCTCTAAAGAGGTTGATCCATCTACAGGTGAGCTTCAGTCGCTGGAGGGCCAGGGCTCAGGCCCAAGTCCAAGTCCAGGTCCAGGTCCAGCTCCTCTGTCAGGGACCGAGGAGGGACCCACAGGTCTGCGGGAGGCAGCTCTTTATCCACACCTGCCTCAAGGTGAGTTCAGATTCTGCGGTTCAAGGTTTTTTTTTTTTTGGTAGTCCTGTCCCTATTAAGCCCCTCCCCTTTGTCCCCCACAGAGGCTGACCCCCGCCTGGTGGAGTCGCTGGCGTCAATGCTCTCGATGGGTTTTACAGATGAAGGCGGCTGGTTGACTCGGCTCCTTCAGGCTAAAAACTTCGAGATTGGAGCTGCACTCGATGCCATCCAGTACGCCAAGCAGTCCCACCCACGCCAGTGACATCATTTGACTACTTTCTGTTTTTAGTCTGACAATTACCTGTCCACACCTAATAACTAATCACTTTTCTGTGTTTACCTTTTATTAAACTTTTGATTTGTTTCTAATCAATAAACGCATTTTAAAAACATGACTCTGAAATGTCTACGAATCGACTCATAACAATCCTAAACGAGCAGCTCAGATGTAAATGGCACAAAACACATTTAAAACTTAAGGAAGTCATCATCACAGCTGAAGTCTTCACCACTCTCAAACATGGAAAGAACAGGAATGTGAGGGCGGGTCGCAGTGATGCTACTGCACAGCTGTGAAGCTATAGCATCAGTCTGACTCTGGCCACAAACAAAAGCCTCGTCTTCCTCATCTTGTCTGTCATCCCTGAGGAAACAATCCCACCTGGAGGCAGTGCTTGGACCAGGAAGGGCTGGAGGCGTTCCTGGTGGACATTCTGGCTGTACAGAGGAATTAAAATTAGAAATATTTTAACTTGTCTCAGCAAAACATCTCACTTCTGTTACAATAAAGATCAAATCAGAGTAGAGATTGGTCGTGTGACATCACTACGATCTGAAACTGGATATTCATACTTTTTGCAACATTGTTAATCTCAGTGGCCTAGTGGTAAAGTGTCTACCCTGGGACTGGGAGATCAGGGTAGGGTCATACCATAGACTTTAAAAATGGGACCCTATGCCTCCCTGCTTGACATTCACCTTTAAAGAGATGGACTGGAGGGGTTTACACCACCAGATAGTTCCCGAGCCCAGCCACAGCTGCAGCCTACCACTCCCCACAGGGATAGGTCAAATGTGGTGATGTAATTTCACCAGTGTGTGTGATGACGACTGATAGGACTTTAACTTTACCATAGAAGACAAATTAGCATTTAGTTATTATAGTTTAACGCAGATTCTGGATAATAATAGGGAGTAATAGAGGCCAGTTTAATACCAACCAGAAGAAAAGAAGGACTAAAGTCAACATAGTTGCAGCCCCAGTGCAATAAACATAATCAAAATAAACCTCTGCGTCTGACATGAAGAACCGGCCAAACCACCACCTGAGCCACACAGCTGATCACGCCTGACTAAGGCACTTTTGTGTGTTGGCTGATGGTCAGGTGGTTCTTAAAAGGACAGTACAATGTTATAAGGTCTTGTACAACATAGCAGCAGCAGGTTACCTGTGCAGGTGTGCAGTAGGGTTCTTGTGTTTCATCTGTGCACTCTCCTGATCTTTGCCGTTTCCTGTCACAAGACGAATTTTACAATAATAATTAGAGACCAGACAGGCCGCATCGAGGCCTGTACAACAGAACCAATACAACAACCAGTTCAGACCCACTATAGAACAGTTAAATCAATAACAAACAGGAGGTTTTACTGTTTGATCCAGGCATATCTACTGGTTTTGTGTTTATACACACACAAACAGGCAGGTAAGTGGGCGGGGCCTGAAACACGCTATGCAGTCACCTGTTACTCCTGATGTTGCCATGGAGACTATTCATCACAACCTTGTTCTTGGTCTCATGTTCTCGTGAGTCATCTTCACCAGGTGTGTCCAGGTATCTGCTCCAGCGACTAACCAGTTTCACCTACAGCCAGAAAAATACCTGAGTCATCTAGTAAGCCCACATATGGACTAGAATTGGTTCACCATGCGGACTCGTGTTAAGGTTCTAAACTCGTTTTAAAAGAGGCCAACAGACCCTGCTACAGAGCCAGTTAGAAAGGTTACCTGATATCCATCGGTAAAGTCACACTCTCTTATACAAACCAACCATTGTGATGGAAAACGTGTTCCCAGCTTCTGCTCAGTGCTGTAGCTGTTCTCAAGGCTATGAGACACTTTGCAGGGTGGTTCCCAAAACTCCCTAGCTCTCAGAAGTTACAGGAAGTAACTGGCTGCTTGGTCCTATGACCTCATTGTTGGAAAAGTCTGGAGGGGAGGGGGGATGGGCGGGTATTTAGATGCAGCATGTTCAGTGTCTGCTAGGAGACGATCACAGGAACATTCTAACTTCCTCTTCTCTTTACAATAAGAATAAAAACTGTATTGATGGAATCCAGGACTATTTTCTCATTGTTTGATAAGTCAATAAATCTGCACAACACCATCAGAACTGCTTTGGACCAGGTTTGGGTTCTATCATCGGTTACCATGGTAACGTACCCAGGTAGGACTGGAGGTTAACCCTGCTGAGACCCTAATTATTCTCCAGGACTCACATGTTCAGTCAGCAGGATTAAATAAGCCTGACTTGATTTAGTTGCTCATTTTAAGCCTGGCTTCTTGTTAGTGAGACCGATGAACAATTAACATAACCAAGATGTTCTGATGAGGCCCAACCCGCAGCAGCTTTTCTTCTCTTGTCCTGAATTAGTTAACTGTGTGGTTTTTGGATCCTGGTGGAAAAGTAGACCCACATGTTCATCTTTCTGCTCCTCCTCTTGCACCTCCTTCACCTCCTCCTGTTCCCTGTGAACATCAGACATTAAAGCAGAACACAGGAACAAGTCCGAACACCTGGATAACATTAGATAGCTGTTGTTATTAAAAATCAGATGTCTCCAGCTGATATAAAACCCAACCTAACTGCTGCTTCATCACAAAGCCCTTCACTGCCTCCTTGTGATTTTCTTTCTTAGATTGTGTTCATGGTTTCTTTTTTGTTATAATAAAATAATTGTTGTTTTCAGGTCCTTTTTGTCCCACCTGCTGAACCTGGTTTTGAGTCACAAACATCAATAATAGCCAAATTTATTCTCACCTGGTTCATAAAGTCTCGAACAAACAAAATGTGATTGATCAGCTGATTTGTCTGACAGATAAATTCTAAGTTATTAAACTTCTGAACATTTTTAATCTTGAATTTTAAAAGATCAGAGTGAGACCAGCCCCCCCCCCACCCCCCCCCCCCCACCCCACACACACACACATACACACACTCACTGTACAGCAACACTAATCAGATAAAAACATGCATGTCAGTTGTTTTTGGGCCGATGTGCATGGACTGCATGGTTACCATGGAAATGAGGTTTTGTGTTCTTGCTCGTCGACCTGGGCTCCTCTTAAGGCGTTTAGTTTCTGAACGTGCCGACGGCAGTCTGCTCCGGATCCCCTTCCAAACTCCTGTCAATCAAATCCAGTTTTTAGATGAACCAATGGCTGGTCCTGCACTCACAGCTGGACAGCAGCACCAAGCTGTTATCTGAGCTTCCATGAGCCCATTATTTACAAACCTGGGAGGGTTACTTATTTTTTTTATAAGGTTAAAAAAAGACAACTACTCGTCTTGTTGCTTGAAGACTTTTCACCTCTAAATCCTGTTCTGATCACAGGTTGGGAGATCAGGCCTCATTAGTCGCCACAGAAAAATCATGATTAGGTGAGTCGTCAACTCACCCTTTCATCAAGCAAGTCATTTGGGTCTTTATCGCTTGATGAATTCTTCCTAATGATGCCAACACGTGACAATGTTAAATGTCTATTGAAAGAGTTATCTATTTATTATTAAACTTTGGTGGGTTATATATATCATAAGCCTGGACTGAAGCTTATCCAATATAAATCTGGACTAAAGATTACCCATATATTATAAATGTGGACAGTGGTTTAGGGTTATCTGATCTAAAAGTGCTCCTATAGGCCTTTTAATCAGTGAAGTGTTGTTGAGCGTAAAATGGTCCAGTACTTAGAAATAAATTAGTAAACATAGGAGTGATTACACATTTAATGAACAAGTTTGGTACTGACCTTTAACAGCGACTGTTTCTGTCCACACAGCTTACAGCTCCACCTGTTTACCTTCTTCACCTGACAGACAAAACCCAGGGCAAATATTCAACAACCAGCAGCTTTGCGGCAAAGCCTTCTGAAGCCTTTGCCTCTCTAGTACTAAAAGTCCCCCTGGTGGTTAGGGAGATAAATTGCAGCTGTTTCTTGTTTGATATCAGAGATGCGGTTCTTAAACCAACAGATGGAAACGTAAATAGTAGTCTGTTAAAAATAAAATTTTCATTGTATGAAGAATGTTTTCATTGAATTTTGAACAAATAAAAATTTTCCCTTGCCTGAATTTTTAACAAGTCTTTATATGTTGCTACATTTGGATATATGGAGGAATGGACTTGTAAATCCAGTAAGTCATACCAATATTCAATTAAAAACTTGACAATGACAGGACAATAAATAAATACAAAAATAAAAAGAGTAGCTATTCACAGATTTGACTCCATTCGGTGACTCCTTCGGAAAAACACGTGAATTTCAAATTAACATTAAAAGGTTGTAATTCTCCTGGGTCTTTGATGCTTTTACAGTCATCAGTCAGGTTTAATGCTGAAACGAGGAATCCTCCTCTCTCTCCTCAGACTCACCGTCTGTCGGCATGAAGTTAGCCCTTAGCTTCGTGTTAGCGTTTAGCTTCATGTTAGCCCATAGCTAACTGATAGGTCGTACTTTAGGTGTGTTACCTGTTGGACTTGGAAGCTCTCACAGCTGAAACACCTGACAACGTGAAACTCCTGCACCATGACGGACACTATTTCGGTACCGATTCTGGGTCGGTTCCGCAACAACTACTTTCGCGGGTCTGTTTTGAAACGTTTCCGGTCGTGACGCGTCCCACGTGACTTAACCGCAGTGCTGGCAAACTGGCAACAAGGTTTTGCTCTGCAGGTACATCAAAATAAAATGTTTTAAAAAAAGACCAACGATAAAACCAAATTTAATATTTCCTTCGACTTTTATTATAACTTTGTAGAATAGGTAAGTATAACAGATTCAAAAGCAAGCAATTAAACAGCAGAGATGAGATAAAAATATTGACAGGAAGTAAACATGAGTGATGTCATTAGAAACAGGAAACAGAAAAAACAAGTGCATTAAAAATTCTTCAAAATAAAAGTAAATAAACATGGTTTTCTTTCAGTCAAAAGTTCAATAAAATCACTGAAAATGGGGAAGTAAAACAGCTGACTGGAACAGAATCATGTGACTGGAGATGTGTTCTAACATCGGGAAAAAAATGACGTAATGATGTCACAAGTCAGTGAAATACTGCATGTTAGAATGATTTTCATTATACAGGCCCATCCAATCCAAATGTCGTTATCAGACATGGTGACGTGATCAAATCAGCTGATGGGTTATCTGGTGCCTGTTGGAGGCGGACAGGTGATCAGGTGGAATGATGCATGAGTTCCTGTTCGGAGGGGGAGCTCACCTGGCGCTCCACGACCCTCTGAGCCTTACATGTAGCCATTTTTGCCTGAATGTCCATTTTCCTCTCAAAGTATTCGACAAGCACTGGCTCCGTCAGTAGTGACGCCAACACCTGTTCGAAGGTGATTGACCAATCAACATCTAGCGTGCTGCCCTGTCTCTGCTCCGCACCTATCAGCACCGTGTCGTGAGCGATGTCTTCACACAGCAGTGAGCCAGAGCTCACTACTGAGTAAGACGACTCCGTGTCGTCCTTGTTTTCCTCGTCAGACGTCTGCAGCACGGCCGGCTCCAGCTGGGCATCGGCGAGAGCCTGGCACAGCAGAGCTTCACCTGACGTTCCCTCATCCGGTTCCTCCTCCTGTTCTGCGCTTATGGGCAAGGTCTGAGAGGTGGTCTCCTGCATTTTCCCACCATTGCCAAACTTCTTTCCAACTTCTCCGATGCGCAATAGCAGGCTGGCGACGGTGGCAATGGCGTGATAGAGCTCCTGCTCAGAGGGGTCCTCGCTGAACATGTTGTACAGAGTTTTACAGAACTCAATGAACTGCTCCTGCACACATGGACACAACAATACAGGTAAATACAGTGCTGCTCTCCATTCTGCGTGCTCACCTGTGGTGCTACTTACCTGGTTCATCCTCGGCAGATCTTTAATGGTCTCCTTTTTGGGCTCCTTTTCTTTGGCCCACATCCTTAGATAGTACCTGTAGTCCTTCACCTCTGTAACAGCACACAGGTGAAAAAACGTGAGGCATCCTCACAAACTGACACCGCCTTTCACTAAGTCATGAGCTTTACACAAACACTTTGTAATATGTTTTGAGGTCGTGCTGAATGACAACGTGGACCTTGATTCTCACCTTTCTTTTCCTCAACGTCTCCTCCCTTGTCTTTCACCTCCTCACCTGTACAGAAGAAACTCCTCGTCACCAGGTGAGAAACAGGAAGTGGCCTGAACCAATTTAACAGGCAAAGGTTTACACAGACAGAAATCAGATAACACTGCACTACAGTCTTACTTTCTGTAATGAGATCACAGGACAGGTGAGAAGAGTGCAGCTGCTGAAAACAGGTAAGACTTTTCACATCGATAGAGTTGTCCAAAGGCTCCTTTGTTGCATCTATTAACTCATCATCAACCACTTATCTGGGATTAGATTACAGGGGCATCAGCCCTAGCAAGGGTAAAGAGCTGCTTCATAGTCCTATGGCCCGGAAAATAACCACAGTGCTCCTCCTCAATCTGAGATTCAATTAAGTACGCCTTTCTCAGGAGGCTGAGAAGTGTAATCCTGCTGCAGGTGGAACTTCTTTCCTAAAAGTCGGGACCACATATGATACAGGGACTTCCCCCCAAGTCCATGTCATTTTTAAAGCTTTGCATCCAAGACAATCTTGCATCCATGGAATTTTTTTTTGATCCAGCCCAGGGGCGCCTCCAGAAAATGTTGATAAGGGTGGCCAGACGGGGTCGAAACACTTAATTTTACAAACATTTCAGAAAAATACATTTCAGTTATTTCAAAATTTATTTAAAAAAATTTTTTTTAGTTTAATTCACCTGTTGCTGTGTTAAAAAAACGAAGGAGATGAAAACATTTTTTTAAGGACGAACAGAATAAACATGTGTATTTTTTTATTCAGATTATTTCTTTACTCATTAATTATTTAATTTTCATTGTGTTTTACATTTATGTATTGAATAAATAAGATGAATTTATGCTTTGAGTAAAAATTAACGATTTATTAACACTGGCTTTTTCCAGGGGGGCCAGCAATTTTTGCCACCCTTCTTTTAGATCAGCAGACCAGATGCTTTTATTCAAAAGACACAATGTTAGAGAGGATAGAACTTTTTTTGATTCAGGTCCAAAATCCTGGAATGATTTCCCTTTAAATGTTAGGCAGGCTCCATCACTTTCTGTTTTCATAATCCAACGTCTAATCTTTGGCATTCAACCCAGATAATCACTTCACCTGCTTGTTTTTTATTGTTTCACACTTATTCTACTTTTTACATATTCTATACCTGTCACTTTGGTTTTGCTTCTATGTACAAAACTTTGGTCAGCTCTATAAATAATCTGACCAGGTCAGGATTAACTAAATGCAGTCAGGATATTTCCTATGTTCCTCAGCTGGCCAGGGAGAGCATCAGGATTCGCCCGGAGGTTCTGGCCCAGGTGGGTGGGTCTGGGCCTCTTGGTTTAGGCCGCTGCCTCCGTGACTCAACCCCAAATAAGCGTAGGAAACAGACGTGTGGATTGTCAGGATTAACAGAACCTATGTGATCTAGTTCTAAAATTTCTCAGTTAACACAGTTTATCTTGAACAGAAGAAAAAGAGACTTTCTGTCAGACGCTGAGAATGTTATTTAAGTTTTAAATGATGTTAATTGGCTGAGAGGCAGTTTCTTGTCTTACATGAGCTCTAATGCCATACCAGTTTATTTATCAAGTGCATTTAAAGACAGCATGTGAGCTGACCAGGTGATACAGTAATTATACAAGACTAACAAGCCATCATGAGACGTCCAATTGGCCAATTGAACCAGTCAGTAATACCGGATAAGATTATACAGATAAAAACACTAAGAGAGCTAAAATATTACACAGAGGTGATTCATGATTCAACAAATACAGATAAAAGCTCAAATGTAACCCAGTTCAGAGTCACGAGTTAAAGGTCAGTTCATAAAGGTGGGTTTCTTTCAAATCTTAAACTCTGGTCAAGTTTTCCAGCATCTGTTACCATAGTAACACAACCAAGTGCCAAAGTCGACTAGCTTCTGAACTGAGGGAACCTCAGCTAGTCAATTTCTGCTTTTTACAGAACTTTATCAAATCAAAAGACACAAACCTGGAGCCACTTCCTGCTGCTGAAAAGTGTCCAGATCAGACAAGAATGAAGATTCTGGAGAAAACATGAGGAGCAGGAGGAGCAGGAAGAGAGGCAGACAGAGAGAATTAACCAAAGTTTGATGCATGCGGAGTCAGACAGCAGGAGGAAAAGAACACTGTGTGTGTGTGTGTGTGCGTGTGTGTTAGAATATGTGTGTGTTTTCACCTTCTGGTTCATCCTCAGTGAAGAAGTGTGTGGCCTCTAAAGCAGACTCTGCCTCCTGAGGGCTCAAAGCTGCAAAAATATGAACAGACAGCACAGGTAGGTGGGTTCAGGTGGGTCGTGTGTGTCAGAGAGCAGAGGTAACACAACAGACTAGTTGAGAAATACAAAACCACTGTCAAGTACAAGTGTGTCATCACGATTGATGTTGTGTTGTGCTACAAGTGAGCTGTTACCTGGAGGGAGGTGGAGCTTGTACAACAGTTTCAGTTTCTCAGTCATGTCTCCATGGTACATCCCACCTGCAGAAATACAAGCACCAAGGTGAAACCAAGCCCAGGAGGACCCAGGGCCAGGTGAGAATGGGCGTCTGTAAGCTGGATCTGAACTGGACTCACTGAGTCCGGTGATAAACTCTTTGAAGTTGACCAGTTGATCCTGGTTTTGATCCAGGAGTCTGAAGAGACGGCTTGACAGCGTGGTGGTGTGGCCTCCACAAACCCACGGAGCAAGGGCAGAGAAGAGCTGGGAGAACTGAACTGGGTCAATTCGGTACTGCTCCAGGTACGGAAGACTGGGATCATGGCGCTCCGCTGCAGAGCTGCTAGAGCCCCAGTAACAGCTGGTCATATGTTTGGACTGAAACCAGGTCAGAGACCGACACAAACAGGTTAGATGTGCTATGGACCAGAGACCTTAAAGACAGGAGAACGTAGAGACTGGTGACTGAATTTTTAAGTCTTTCTGACCTTGAAGAGACAGTAGAGCTCCTCCAGCTCCTCGATGCTGAACGCAGACTCAGTCATCATTGCCCTCACCTGCACAGAGACACACACCTATGAAATGTGTCCTCATGTCTCTGTTAAGAGTTAGAATTAGCTCACAGTTTTGTAACACCCACCACGCTCCGCTTGGCTGTGTCCTCCAGAGACTGGATGACCTTTAACCTCTGCTTGAACCTCATCTGCTCGATGACATCAGAGGACAGGCTGCCAAACTTCTGCACAGGAAAGAAAAGTGGTCAGTGTTTAGAAGGAGACGCTGGAGCTGCGGGACAGAGACAGACACAAAGGAAGTGATGGCAGGAGGTGAAAACGTCTTAAGTAAACAACCTCACTCTGACCTCATACGAAGATTTGATGAGGTCAAAGATGTCAATCTCAGGCGGAGGTTCATCCCCACTCGTCAGGACGGCATGCAAGTGAGGAATGGGCGGAGCCACAGTCTGCTTATTCACAACATTGTCCAGGTATCTGCAACACAGGTGTGACTCAATCTGCACCATCATTCTCGTATCTGGCTGGGTCTGACCTAGTTAAGACTGGACCAGAACCAGGTCTGAAATGGTTCTGGGCTAGTCCTACCTGCCCAGGACGGTCATGGCCTCACCCTCGTCACTGCTGGACAGAAGAGCATCCATGTTGTCAAGAAGGACGGTCAGAGCAACCTGCAGACAAATTAGACAAACATTTGATAGTTAAGTCAGGTATTAATCCCTCAGAACGCTCTCCTTCACAGCTGAGTTTCAGACTCTCTCACCATAACTAGACTAAAACAACAAATCACACAAAAATCATTCTCTTCCTGCACGAATGTTTCTTCTAGCTTCTCCTCAAAAAGCAAAATCATGCCATGTTCCCCAGTGTGTGTGTGTGTGTGTGTGTGTGTGTGTGTGTGTGTGTGTGTGTGTGTGTGTGTGTGTGTGTGTGCTTGTCCCTGTGTGACTACTCACCTGTCCAGGTCTAACACTGCCTCAGGACTGGATCAAAAGGGTATAAAATATGAACGGATGAATCAAACTAAACTGGATTTGTCTTCCCTGGTACTCTGATCATGTGCTTGTTGTAAACGGTCGGTGAAAGTGAGAGTCAGTCAGAACCTGGAAGATGACTTTGATTCCCTCGTAGAAGAAGCAGTCGACCAACAGCACGGCGCTGTCGAACGGCATCACAGACAGGAAGAGGGTGAGGAACCAGGACAGACTGATGGTGGAGATGACTCCCAGCTCCTGCATGTGTTCATAGAGCTGAGGGAGGGAGGACCGAGTTAGATCCTCAAACACTCCCTGATCCACCAGAGCTCCTATGAACACACAGACACAATGAGATCCTTCAGCCTCCAACACCAATGTCTCATTTAAGCCATTAGGTATAATCATGACACAATTCTGTCCCACAAATTAGAGCTCCACAGCACCATCTGGTGGTGAGAGGCCCCAAACGCAGAGCCGCTACAATTTCTGTCACGATGTCACCATAATTTCCTGATTCATAAATAGTGTAGATATCAGTAAATAAATCACCTGTTATTTAAAACTCTGATTCAGAGCTGGTTTAAACGTTAATCTTTTAGTTTATGTAAACTTTTAATGTTTTCAGGAGCAGGTTCAGTGCTGGGACTGAGCCTGGTATGTTTGGACTTTTCTTTTGTCCGCTCTGGTTTGAGATCCTGGTTCTAGTCCTCCTCTGAGCTGCTGGTACCGACCTACGACCCTGGTGTTGTAGTAGTCTGGCAGCATCCGCTCACAGAGCGCCACCAGCAGCCAGAAGGCCTGTTCCTCTGTGCAGTAGAGCAGCAAGACAGAGGTGACGATGTTCATCGCCTACAGGAGAGAGCAAAGAGTTGAACTTTAATGAACACCACTGGCTTGAAAAACATGTCATATTAAAAAGACGCTAAAAGGACGTTTCCATGGAAACAAGCAGAAGGCCATCATGACCCTAACCAAGAATATACTACAGGGTTACTGGATTTAAACAAGAATTAGGATTATCACAGAAATAAAACCTTATGCGACCAGAACTGTCTGAAGTACAGCCAAAGCATGACACCGGCAGCTGAAGAATCCTGATTGCGGTGTCATCAGGTGTGGTCTCACCTGGCAGTAACCGATGCCCGGGTTCCGGTGGGCGTAGGCAGTGAGGACGCGGCGCAGAGCAGCAATACCGGTCTCGTTCTGGAAGGCCCGGTGTTCAGGCATGGAGCGATGAAGGTCTCGCTCGATTTCGTCCGTAGCCAATGAGCACATCCCCATAGCCTGCTCCACCAGGTCGCCATAGTAACCAGGATGGGTTGCAAGTTCATTCTGAGCTCCTGGGACAAAAGGTAGATATGAAGATAGGAGGGGACAGGAACAAGATGGCTCTCCTCAAACCAACTAACACAGAACTGAACACTGACCAGAAAACAGCAGCCACAGCTCCCCCCTCAGGCATTCTGGGATCCCGTTCAGAACAAGTTCTCTGGTTCTGGAGGTTCTGTACATGCAGACACCTCGACCGAACTCAGAGAAATGGATGTTCCATGCCTCCTCCTTCATCTTCTCCTTCATCTACAGGGAGAAGGTCAAGGGGGTCAGCATCTCCTCTGTAGTCATGGGTCTTCTAATCTGAAGGTACTCACAGCTTTGGGTCCCAGGTCCTCTGGACTGTTTTGATGGAACAGCTGCAGCAGACTCTGGCTAGCAGTTGGCAGGCCTGAGTGGTAATGGCGCCCCTTGTGGGTGGAGTCAGAGGGCACCTGAGGACAAAAGAAACTCAGACTGGCTGATGTGATTCTGAGGACCAAACAGTGTGAGATATGACTGACATACTGAGGAACCAATCAGGGACGGGGGGCTGGTATCAAACCATGAGCTGTCGGGGGTCCGCTGTAGGAAGTCAGAGATGCGTTGGACCAGGAATTCTCTGTCTTTGAGGTTGGCAAAGAGGAAAGTCATCTTGTTCTTCGTGCTGATCGAGACAGGACACGGCAAGACACTGCTGCTGTCTGCCTTCTCCACAATGGACACCTGAGGAGCAGAGAATTGTGGGTAAAATTACTAGTAGGCACTCCCGTTGAAGGGTTGAAACTTGCTTGGTCCCTTCTGTGTTGGTTAGCATGTTCTCCTTGTGCATGTGTGGGGTGGGGGTGGGGTCCTCCCACACCTGACAGGTGCAGGTGAAATAAAGACTCTAAAGTTTAGGTTTGGTTCGGTCCAGTCCATCACAGTCCACTTTACTCTGATTCAGTTCAGTCTGGTCAAATCCAGGAGTTTAAAATAACAGAACCTATTTCAATGGAATGATTTTCACTGGTGATAGGGGGCAGTACATACCTAAATCATTGGAAGCAAGCAGTAACTTTGTATTAAAGTAAGACCTTTCCAACGGATGGCCATTAGGGTCAAAATTCCCTGGAAGCACAACCTCCAGCAAAATGACAAGCACATCAGACTCCCTTCCATCACTGGCAACGAGCAAAGAGGTAAATGTGTAAAACAATGTTTATGAACAAGGAAAGTTTTGTAACCGTTTGTTACAAATCAGTAAATGCATTTTGTCCTCACAGCCTTCCATACAAGGAAACATGGCGTCTAATATAGCATCGCCCAGAGACTTAGACCCACTCCCAAGTATTTTAGATCCGATTTTTATGGTTATAGGTTATGAAGCCGCCAATGTTTTTCAACATCTGGGCATCATTTAATTCATTTTAAAAACATTTCCATGGATATTTTCAGAGCTTAACAGTAAAAACAACACATCCTCTCTTTGAGTTGGGTCAACTGAGAATCCAGCAGGTTGAAGGTTGTGTCTCTGCGATGGACCGGCCACCTGGGCAGGTGTAGCTCTGACTTTCACCTGAGGACAACTATAATGGGTTTCCTTTGTATTTGTTCTTTTGGCCTGGATTCAATCGTAATTCTAACTTAAGTTGTCTGAAATGCTGTTTGATTTGATCGTTTTGATAAATCTCGTAATTACGCAGCTAAGAATTACATTCATTTATTAAATGTATTACTTTAACCTGACCCCACCCCTAACCCTGCTCCTGACCTATGGTCTGTTTCTGAGTGTTGTGAACGAAAGAAATCCTCAGATGCTCACATTAGAAATATCAGCCCAATGTCCTTCTCTTCAGTCACAAACAGATCTGTCTCAGCCTGCAGGAGCTAAGGCACGGATTCAGACCCGGGTTCTGGTTTTACCTCTCTTAGAGGAATGATTAGCTGACACAGGTCTTCTTCTCTGCTGCTGAAGCAGATGTAGTTGTTGGAGATGAACAGCTGTCCCACGATGTGCATTTTTGCAAATGGTGTCCACAGAGTGCAGTCCGTGTGTCCGTCTAGACGCTCATCCTGCGTAAGGCGGAACATGGCCCTGTACCGCTCATTCTTGGCCCGGGCGTCAAAGTCCCTGTAAATAAAAAATAAAAAAAAGAAAGATGAAGGGGACAGGAGTGATGGATCAGAGGAAGCCTGTCAGCTTATTTCAGGCAGAGTGAGACCTCTTCAATGTGGAGACATTCTTCAGGGTCTTGCAGGGTTTGGGCAGCGAGCGGTCGGCAGCAAAGGCCTCATTGTCCAGCAGCTGGCGCATGGCGATGTTGGCTAGCTGCTCCATCAACTTGAAGGTGTCGTTGATGTTAAGGAACATGGAGAAATAATGTTCAGTGTGACGAGTGCTCACACGAATGCTCTCCGGAAACACCAGTGTGGCATTCTTCTCCAGCTGGGTCACCTCCATCCAGGGAATCACCAGGGTCACTGAGGTCACAGCCAACAGACACAAATTATGATTTTGAATGATGCCACAACAAAGATAAGCAACCCTGAGGGCAGGTGGTGTTGAGGATACGGCTGGCTGATCGGACCTTCCTTTCCCAGAAGGAAGGAGTAGAAGCACAGGTGATTGATGGACAGGTAGACCCAGCCCTGCCGGGGGACTCGGCCCTTCCAGTAGCTGCAGGAGTAATAATTCACCAGCTTTTCCTCCTCAGGCATCCCAAAGAGCCTTCTCATCTTCAGCTCCGCCTCCCGAAACTTCCCGCTGTCCTCCTCCTGCTCCTCACCCTGCTTTAGACGCTTCTCCTCAGCGATAATGCCCTGCAGGAAGTGACATCACTCAGCATCAGAAACCCAATACAGAAAAAAAACACAGTAAATGTATAAAAAATTTAAAGACACACAGAAATTTTTCCTTTGACAAAGGTGATGACATCTTCATCGTTATCAAAGATGGAGATGGTCTGAAGCAGGTTGGACTCCAGCCAATCCCAGTGCTCCGTAATCTCCTTCCTGGATGAGCCTGTAAGACAAAACAGAGGGTGAACAAATGACAGCTTTCAGACCATTCTCTGGCTTTTCCAGAACAAGTGACATACCACAGGCAATGTTCCAGTAGACCTGAGAGTCCGCAGTCTGGAGAAGGATTCTGTATGGAGCCACCCTGGCACTGGAGTCAAGAACCACATCCAGAGTCCCAACCAGGAGACCTGCAATGCAGCCTGTTAGACCTGAAGAAAAGCTTTCAAGTCCTAAATTTGGTTTGTAAAGACTAGTCTGAGGGTTTATAAAGAACTGGTTCTGTCTGAACCAGTGACTGTAAAAAAAAGACCACTTCTGAACATATTTTGGCAACTCAAGTAAAAGAGCCCCAGATCCCAGATCTTCCTAAAAACCTTCTGCTGGTTGAATCTGAGTCCAGGTTCTAGAAGTTCTTGTGTCACTGTGGCTTCATTGGTGCGACTGCATGCATTCTGTAGCAGGTTTCCAACAAGGGCCCAATCATAGACCTGGTGAGAACATTCTGGATTGGATTAGGAGTTCTGGCCTGGATCAGGGGTTTGGAACAAGGCTGTATCAGGAGTTCTGGGTAGGATGAAGCAGTTCTGGAGTGGATCAGAAGTTCTAGACAAGCAGGAGATGAGATGCTTGGGTTTAACTGTGTGTGAGTGTATGATCACTGATTCTGTTCAAATGGAGAAATGACAGTAAAACATGTCTTTAAGATCCTAAAACATTTTAGATAAATGTCAGATTGAACTAAAGCCTAAACTACAGCCCTTCCATCTTCAGAACATGACACTGAGACATGGATCTAAACCGCAAAACAAGGTGTAGAGTCCAGAAATGGTCAGATTTCACCAATATATTTGACCAGCACATCATCTGCGAGAACAAATCCACTATCTGGGTGGATTTTCTCTGCTGTCTCCTAAAGTCCAGGCCTCTGCAGTGCTTGGCACACAAGATTACTTACTGTCAACAAACTGTTCTTCTCATGGCCTCGGCTTTCCCCCTTATCGCTTCTACTTGATTCCACACTCTGAATGAAAAGTGAACTTTTACAACTCATAAGTTAAATAATCATTAAATAATCATATGGTTGACTGAACCAGATGTTATATGGGTAATAATATTAATGTTTGGATAATCTGTGCCTAATTCAACGAAGTTAAAATGAATGTGATTATTACAATGAAACATTTATATGTCATGATCAGTGATGTTTGATTTAACAAGTGAATCACTATCCACACTCATACAAAATGTTCATAAGATACAAATTATGGTTAAGGTCACATCTCACATAAGTTTAAAGTTTATTTATCCACAGAGTTAGAACATTTTTGTATCTGATGAAGGTATAGTTTCTGAGGGATGTTGGTAACATCAACAAACATGTCAAATTCTGATTCACCAGAGTCATACCATGGTGGATCAATAAAACTAGGATGACTTCTTGAGTTATTCAGTTAGTTTTTGAGCAGAACTTCGGAGTGGCCAATCCGGAGGAAGCTCTTTGATCCATCAAAGCTTTTGACAAGCCGTCAAAGCCTGCCTGCAGCTGACACAGCAAATGGCTCCTTCAGAGCACAGCTATTCTAGACGCAAACAAGTTCCTGTTGTGAACCTTCACACCTGTGGTGACCTGGAGACAACTTGAGACCGGTCTAGTGGTGCTGCGGCTTCAGTGTCTTGGGGTCCACCAGACTTCTTGACATTCCAGATCTACAACGGGGGTCTCCAAGGGTTTGTAGACACAACCGACGGTGTCTGATGTCACTTTATTAATAATCAACTCTCTAGTTTATAGCAGACCAAATTCTTTTACACCCAGAACTCACAGTTTCTTCTGGATACAAAGGTTCAGATAAACATCACCATTCCATCACATATCATTATTCATAGCTTGTCATGTATTATAATTAGTCTAGAAAATAAGGTTTATTTTTAATTATATACTTGACTGTCTGAATTAATACGAAGTGTGTTTATGGTCACTGAATAAGCAAAGAATCCTAAAATCTTCTGGTTAAACATTCAAAGATCAATCAGGTTGATATTCTATATTTATATAGAATCATCACATCTTACTGGTCATAATTTAACCCCCCAATCTCACTACATTACAAAGGTTTATTCAGGGGTAAATAACAAGAACATGTTTCCAGTTGGTTCAGATCCAAATAAAAAAATCACATTACATCAGACCACTTAATTAACTAAAGTGATTTTTGGCATCAGAAATATGGAACACGTTATTTGATTTGTCTGTGTTTGATGTGTTAATTGTGTTTTTGTTTTCTATTGTCTGTGCTGTTATTAGTTTTTTGTTTGTGTGTCTGTTGTGTTTATTTGCTTTTGTTTTATGTTATTTGTGTTGTTGTGCTTTTGTTGTGTTGGACCATGCAAGCCCCTACAGTGACCTTTGACTCCACAGGTAAACATGCAGCTGAATCTCAGCCCACTTACTGTTAGCTGACCCCCAGTGATGACGTCACTAATTGCATTTTAAATAAAAGTTCTGGTTCTGGTCCTGCTGGCTCCGTAGAGCGGATCCGAGAAAAGAATGTTGACCTGAGGTCAGGGTGGCTCAGTTCAGTCCTCTGAACCGGATCTTTCTGGTTCTGCTCCGTCAGTCAGACTGAACGAAATCCGACCCACCAGAACCAGAACAATGCAGATGCGTTCAGGTTCTGCGGAACTCTGAGCTCAGTTAAACAGAACCAGTTTGACCTGTTGTTGACGAAGCGAATTCTGAACGTTCCCCTGAGGATCAGATGTCCAGTCTGACCAATCAAACCGAAGAACCCGAACCCGAACCCAACTCACCAGACAGCCCCCCTCCGCGACCGTGCCCCCTCCTTCTCTGCAAGATGAAGAACGGGTTGGCCCGTTCGGACACCCACAGAGCTCCGACCAGCAGAACCTCCTCCGGTTCGATCCACATCTTGACCGTTCGCCGGAGAAAAAGGGAGAACCAGTTCTGTTCTATTCTGACGTTGTTTTCAACGATTCTGATTACTTCACATCACTTCCGGGTTTGATACGTCACGTGCCTAGAATAACAGTACATTATTAGGGAAAGCCAATTTAACATTAAATAGCAAGAAGACGCTGCTTATTAGGAAGAAAGCAGTAAGGTTCATGCATAAAATCCAGACTTGGTCTTTAAAATATTTGCTTGTTTTTTTTTTGGCTAAGTTTCGTCGCATAAACAATATATGTATGAGCACAAATTAGAATATTTATTTTTTGTGCTTGGAAACTCACACTGCATACTTGGGTTTTCTCATTCAGTATGAATGTCTCAGAATTTCCACTTTATGCACCAACAGATCCTGGAGAGTTGGACAGTTGGAGATACAGTGCATCTGGAAAGTATTCATAGCGCTTCACTTATTTCACTTTTTTGTTTATGTTACAGCCTCATTCCAAAATGGATTAAATTCATTTTGCCCATAAAATTCAACACACAACACCCCATAATGATAATGTGAAAAAAGTGTCTTTGAAGTTGTTGCAAATATATTAAAAATAAAAAACTTGAGAAACATGACGTGAAGCTCAGAATTGAACTGAGGGGCATTCTCTTTCCACTGATCATCCTTGAAGTTTTTCAGCAGATTAATTGGAGTCCACCTGTGGTAAATTAAGTTGACTGGACATGATTTGGAAAGGTACACAACTGTCTATATAAGGCCCCTGGGTTGACAGTGCATGTCAAAGCACAAACCAAGCATGAAGACAAAGGAGTTGAGTGTAGACCTCTGAGACAGGATTGTCTTGAGGCACAAGGCTGGGGAAGGTTACAGAAACATTTCTGCTGCTTTACTGGTTCCTATGAGCACAGTGGCCTCCATCATCCGTAAGTGGAAGACGTTTGGAACTACCAAGAATCTTCCTAGAGCTGGCCGGCCTTCTAAGCTGACTGAACAGGGGAGAAGGGCCTTGGTCAGGAAGGTGACCAATAACCTGATGATCACTTTGTAAGAGCTCCAGCAGTCCTCTGTGGAGAGAACCTTCCAGAAGGACAACCATCTCTGCAGCAATCCGCCAATCAGGCCTGTATGGTAAAGTGGCCAGAGGGAAGCATCTCTTTAGTAAAAGGCACATGGCAGCCCGCCTGGAGTTTGTTAAAAGGCACCTTAGGGACTCTCAGACCATGAGAAACAAAATCCTCTGGTCTGATGAGACATAAATTAAACTCTTTAGAGTGAATGCCAAGCGTTACGTTTGGAGAAATTCAGGCACAACTCATCACCAGGCCAATACCATCCCTGCAGTGAAGCATGATGGTGGTAGCATCCTGCTGTGGGGATCTTTTTCAGTGGCAGGAACTGGAAGACTAGTCAGGATAGAGGGAAGGATAACTGCGACAATGTACCGAGACATCCTGGATGAAAACCTGCTCCAAAGCGCTCTTGATCTCAGACTGGGGCGACAGTTCACCTTTCAGCAGGACCTTTTCAGCAGGACAATGACCCTAAGCATACAGCCAAAATATGATATGATCCAAGCTCAACTCCACTTTCTCTTGCACACCATAAATGTTTGATTTTGGTTCTAAATTTACTCATATGGTAAAAATGTTCTACAGCAATATTATCAGCTCCGTCATATTGATTTTAGAAACTTCTAAAAAAATTCCCATCAATAGAGGTGTTAGGCAAGGTTGCCCTATTTCCATTTTTCTATTAATTTAACTACCATCAGTAAGGACAATAAGTGATATAACTGAATGGAAGCGATGCTGTTTGTCACAGTTGTGAAATACAGGATCCTCTCTTTATTAAGGATGCTTTAGGGTGGATTACCTACTTAAGGTTGGGAACGCTCCAGGTAGTGATAGTATAGTAAGTAGAGGAAGTACCTTGTACTCAGCAGTGTGCTTGTTGTCACAATCCAGCTTCTTAATATATTGGAAATGAACTCTGGCCTTCACTCTGCAAGCCTGGAGCTGGTGAAGGGCTGCCTCCCCCATCCCTGAGATCTAATCCCAGATCCTTCACCAGGGAGACATCATTCATCTATGAGAATCAGCAACTCAGTTTTAAAGTGAAAAAAACAGAACCAAAAATCTGAAGGTGCTACACTTCATGCAGGTGCTTCAGACTCAGTTCATGAAGATGCTGATTTATTGAAAATATTCACAACCCCAGAAGAACCACTGCTGTCCTGAAACTGGACAGTCTCTTGACTGATGAAGACTCCTCCCCCCCCCCCCACACACACACACACACACAAACACAAACTAGACCAAACAGAAAATTGGACTTTTACCTGAAACACACGGAGAGGATCTGCGAAACAAAATGCAGCCAACACTTTAATGATCATTGTTGTGGCAGTAATGACACAGTGGACTTCCTCATCATCATCATCATCATCATCATCATCATTACACAGAGACGAGGACAGACAGACAAGGACAGCAGCCGAGTGTCCCTTAGGACATCTTCAGGTCACTTAGCGCTAATATTGATTTCTGAGATTATAGACGCTGTTTATATGCTGATTATTATTAATATTATTACTATTAATATTATTCTTGTTACACGCTGAATAATTCAGATTATTACATGTTAAAGGAGCAGTCCTACACTTCAGGAAACCTGGAAACCAATCATCAAGCTACAAAAACATTTTACTGGTTACTTCTTCAAGATGGGAACAGAAACTCATCCAGACCCAGAAAAACCTCACAGACCCCACGCCACCAGACATCAAAGAAGGGAAAGGCCGTAGAACCAGTGCTATTCTGTGAGGGTTAAACTGGGCTATTTGGGGTTTACTTGCTAAGTCAGAAAACCCATAATGGTCTACATGTTCCAGAACCCAACCAGGTTTCCTAGAATTTCAGACTTTCCTTTACATCTAATGTCTGTTTGTTCTACAGAAAAGCACAGAAGAGTTAACATCTTTAAGGTTCCTCCTGAGAATCCAGATTCAAGTACAAACCGGTTTTTGAATCCCGTGTGATGAGAAAGAATAAGGTTAGTCAGTAAATACAAACAAGGGGCAGGAACAGGGCCAGCAGTAGGTCCAGGGGCAGTATCGGGCCATGGTTACCAGCCAATAAGGAGGTCAACTTACTAGTGTCCAGACCAAATTAAAACACAAGACAGAAACATTTTTGTCTTCAAAATCTTTGGGTCAGCACTCGTTCTGGTTTGGGTGTTTGCTGCATAAGTTCTGGTCCAACAGTGTGAATATGAAGAAGAAAAAGACAAATGAAAAAAGGAATCTTTGTAGGTACCAACAGATCTCTGAGAGCATAAATGTTTTCCAGGAACTTCCATACCCCTTTTTAGTTCATTCGGAAGTTTACAATAAGAAGCAATTCCAGGAAGTTCACATGAGCCCAGGAACATTGTAAAAGCTTCAGTAGAGTTTTGAATGGAGCTGTTATCCAGAACATCCAGAACGTTGACTTATCAGACCACGCCCACCCCAAAACAACCCCACATCCCAACAAAAACACTGTGTGAGGACTTCCTGTGTCCATCCATCAGCAGGTAGAACAGTGTTGTGATGTGTGGTTGTAACCAAGACGACCAGTCTCAAGACTTATTGTCATCATAGAGATCAAGAGAGGCCTGGATGTCTGGTAGCTCCATCTCACAGATGATGTTACGAGGAGACATCGAGCGCCTGTTGAAGATGTGACCCCCACCTGGCGAGACACACAAACATCAAAAACACATGTTCAGAATGTTCAGGAAGGGATAGAAATTATTTTTTAGAACATAAAAAATGAAACCCAATGCTCAGCAACTTCCAGTATCTGTTGAGATTTTGTCTTCATTATGTTCTTTTTAAAGGTTACTGTGTTTTAGTTGAAAGTTAATGCACGTTCATGTACGATTTTAATGCAAAGATATCATTTTAGTTTTGTTTTTATGAAAAGTTGTGATGAAGAGCTGCCATTCTTTATCAAAAGGCTGCTGTGTTTTAACGACAGGCTGTCGGATGAACCTCTGCTGCATTGGATGGAAATGATCTATTTTAAAGCAAAGTTTTTCTTTTAGTGTATTGACGTGTTTTAATAAGAAATGTTGTGATGTTTTTAGATGGAAACTTGCTGTTTTGACATGAAATTGGAATGTTTTGATGAAAAGTTGTTTTAGGAAATAGTCGCTGTGATTTGATTAAATGTTGCAATAAAAAGTTGTTAAGGTAAGATAAAAACATGCTGTATTTTTATGCAAAGCTGTTGTTTTCCTCCGTAGTTGCTTTGTTTTTATACAAAGGTTAAATAAAAAGCAGAAATATTTTCATTAAAATTGGCTGTTATTTGACGAAATCTGTAAAATGAGCCTTTTCCACCAGTACCTAATCAGCACGGCTCAGCTCAGTTTGGCCCAGTTCCAAAGTGTTTCCACTAGTGTTGGGTGCAAGGCTGCCACCTCTTTTAGTGCAAACTTCGAAGGGCCTTCAAGCCAGGCCAAAAATGCAACATCAGAAACTGTCACACACTAATTGGCTAGGCAGTGGTTGATTAGTGTTTTGCCTTGCTGCCCGCAGGTTTTAATAAAAGTACTTTTTGCAGGTACAGATCATGTTACGCTACTTTTCAAAAGGCCACCAACTAAAGCTGTTTCTTATTTGTAAGGAAAAACCACCCGAACCATGTAAAGTAGTGTAAAAAATGAAATATTTCTGTGTTTGGATAAAACATTTTAAGAAAATGTTGCCAAGTTTGGATGAAAGCTTGTTTTGTTTAGACATAAAGTGAAACTATGTTGCTTTGTTGTTGCACTGCTCCGGTGATTAGCTGCTTTGTGTTCTTACTGGTAATGGTAACAGTGATGTCAGCAGGTGTTCTGGGTGTGGCCTCAGGATGGGGGGGCCTGAGAGGCTCTAAGCTGATGGACGGCTGGTTACTGTCTGTCAGTGGCGCCCTCTGGCTGCTGGATGGCTGAACGACACCCAGACGCTCTACATCCAACACCACGCTGTCCACGCAGGGGAGACTAGTCTGGGCAGAGAGGGGACACAGTGAACAGAAACCACCAGTGTGGGCGTCCCTGACACCCGTGTAACTGATGATGTCAGCTATAACTCACCATGATGCCGAGAGCTTTGAGGATGTTAAGTTTGCACATGGGACAGGTACAGTGTTCGTTCAACCATGGGTCCACACACACCTTATGGAAGACGTGTCTGCAGAAGACGAAGATAATTTTCAAGAAAAAATGTAGGACAGGCGGATGAAGATAGGACATCCACTGATTTCCCTCAATCCTATTGTAATGTCCAGTAATGGTCAGTTTTAAGTACCGGTACAGTTTGACCCTTCAATATCTGGTCGACATGGAGACATGAGTCTGCATGTGTTTCCTTTAATCTGCCAGATTCTGCATCCCATCAGCTGGAGTTCAGAGCCTTTCTGCAGCTCTGAACACATGATAACGTATTGTCAACAATCACGTTCCCTCCTCAAGGCCCAAGCTTCCCTTATCATTCTACAGGACTCTTCATGCCTCTGAATAAAGTGAACACTCTCAGCTCGTAAGGGTTGCTTAATCAAAAAATGAACTCTTAAATATATGAATAATTAAAACTTATAGGTTAATTAATCATTAAAGAATAATTTGGTTGATGAACAAATGTTATATGAATACTAAATAAAATGTTTTGATTAATCTGTGAAATGAAGTATTACATTGATTTATACAATGGGGCAAAAAAGTATTTAGTCAGCCACCGATTGTGCAAGTTCTCCCACTTAAAATGATGACAGAGGTCAGTAATTTTCATCTTAGGTACACTTCAACTGTGAGAGACAGAATGTGAAAAAAAATCCATGAATTCACATGGCAGGATTTTTAAAGAATTTATTTGTAAATCAGGGTGGAAAATAAGTATTTGGTCAATAACAAAAATTCAACTCAATACTTTGTAACATAAACTTTGTTGGCAATAACAGAAGTCAAATGATTACTATTGGTCTTTACCAGGTTTGCACACACAGTAGCTGGTATTTTGGCCCATTCCTCCATGCAGATCTTCTCGAGAGCAGTGATGTTTTGGGGCTGTCGCCGAGCAACACGGACTTTCAACTCCCTCCACAGATTTTCTATGGGGTTGAGGTCTGGAGACTGGCTAGGCCACTCCAGGACTTTCAAATGCTTCTTACGGAGCCAATCCTTTGTTGCCCGGGCGGTGTGTTTGGGATCATTGTCGCATGGGAAGACCCAGCCACGTTTCATCTTCAAAGCTCTCACTGATGGAAGGAGGTTTTGGTTCAAAATCTCATGATACATGGCCCCAATCATTCTGTCCTTAACACGGATCAGTCGTCCTGTCCCCTTAGCAGAAAAATAGCCCCAAAGCATGATGTTCCCACCCCCAGGCTTCACAGTAGGTATGGTGTTCTTGGGATGCAACTCAGTATTCTTCTTCCTCCAAACACGACGAGTTGAGTTTATACCAAAAAGTTCTACTTTGGTTTCATCTGACCACATGACATTCTCCCAATCCTCTGCTGTATCATCCATGTGCTCTCTGACAAACTTCAGACGGGCCTGGACATGCACTGGCTTCAGCAGCGGAACACGTCTGGCACTGCAGGATTTGATTCCCTGCCGTTGTAGTGTGTTACTGATGGTGACCTTTGTTAATGTGGTCCCAGCTCTCTGCAGGTCATTCACCAGGTCCCCCCGTGTGGTTCTGAGATTCTTGCTCACCGTTCTCATGATCATTTTGACTCCACGGGATGAGATCTTTCGTGGAGCCCCAGATCGAGGGAGATTATCAGTGGTCTTGTATGTCTTCCATTTTCTGATAATTGCTCCCACAGTTGATTTTTTCACACCAAGCTGCTTGCCTATTGTAGATTCACTCTTCCCAGTCTGGTGCAGGTTTACAATTCTTTTCCTGGTGTCCTTCGAAAGCTCTTTGGTCTTGGCCATAGTGGAGTTTGGAGTCTGACTGTTTGAGGCTGTGGACAGGTGTCTTTTATACAGATAATGAGTTCAAACAGGTGCCATTAATACAGGTAACGAGTGGAGGACAGAAAAGCTTCTTAAAGAAGACGTTACAGGTCTGTGAGAGCCAGAGATTTTCCTTGTTTGAAGTGACCAAATACTTATTTTCCACCCTGATTTACAAATAAATTCTTTAAAAATCCTACCATGTGAATTCATGGATTTTTTTTTCACATTCTGTCTCTCACAGTTGAAGTGTACCTAAGATGAAAATTACTGACCTCTGTCATTATTTTAAGTGGGAGAACTTGCACAATCGCTGGCTGACTAAATACTTTTTTGCCCCACTGTATATGGATCAGTAATGTTTGATAGGATAAGGCCATCATCATCTACACTCATTCAAGGTTCATCAAGGACAAATCAAAGTTAAGTCAAACGCGTACCACATAGATATTTTCTTACCCACAAATCAGAACCTCTGTATCTGAAAGAAGGCGTGAGTTTCTGAGATTCTTGGTAAGAGCCCTTAACATGGCACGCTCTGATTTGGTAAGAAATTAACATGAGAATATAAAAACAGAACTCACTTCACGATGAGTCAGTGTTCCAGTCAGAGAGTGTGTTCCAGTTCTACAGAGTTCTAGAGGAAGCTAGGGAAACGGCCGTCCGTAGTGAAGTCTCTTTAACTAAGAAGCAGCCTTTGACACGCCGTCAAGGTTGCTGCAAAGCTGACACAGCAAACGGTTCCTGCAGAACAAAGCTGATTTTGTTCCGAATCCGAGTCTAGACGCAAACGGTTCCATCCAAACTGTGTGCCTGGCGACATCTCTGGGCTGGAGAAGTCGGCTCTGTGGTCAATCTACTGGACCAGGGTGCCCAGGGGTCATCCGACCTCGCTGACCTCCAGATCCACGAAGAGGGTTTCCGAGAAGGGTGAGGTAGAACACAGCGTGATTGCGTCTGATGCATTTTGATAAGAATCAACTTCATAGCTTAATGCAAACCAAATTCTTTTAACACCCAGAACTCAGCTTTCCTAGATACGGAAGTTCTGATAACATCACATTCACACATAGGCACCATTTACCACATCTCCTCCATCTAGATCCATCCATCACAGTAAATATTAGTTAACTTGTCGTGTTTTAATTGTTTGGAAAATAAATTCTTACTTTTACAAACCTGACTCTTTCTTGAATCAAAATGAAGAGTTTACAATCCCTGAATAAACAAAGAATCCTAGAATCTTCTGATTAAACATACAAGACCAAGCAGGTTGATATTCTATATTTATACAGAGTATCACAGCTTATTGGTCATAAGTAGAGGTAATATATTAATCTCTTAAAGCAATCAATTTACTAACCCCTACACTATTCACTCTCTTTCTTTACATTTTTTAATCATAATTGTCTATTTTTTGCTCATTTTAAATATATTTTGAATCATTTTCTAAATTCTTTTTTTATATTTTAGATTTTTTGCTTTTGTGAAGCGCCTCATGATTTTTATCTTGAGAGGCGCTATAGAAAAGATCTTTTCTCCTTTTTCTTCTACAGGGACAACGTGCATTGGAGTCTTTTTGCTCCAAACTAACTGGTCGTTTCTTTATTACACATCAATATAAACAATCATAAAACATCTGGATGGTTCTGAAAGGTCAGGTTTGGGTCAGCTCTCCTTCTACACAATTTATATTGTAATGATTTAAATTACATGTTATTTAATGAGCCATAAGGCGTAGGATTCCATAGGAAATATGAAATCCACCTTACGGATCTGTGAGGTTATTTAAACCAGAAGATTGGAACTTTTTAATGCAGGGATTAGATAACAGCTTCGTATTCACTCAGAGAGAACAGAAGAGAGAGAGTCAAGTTTAAAAGTTAAAAATATTTATTACTAATAAATTAAACTAGACTGACTTTAAGCACTAAATGTATGGTGTAACTAAGGTGGATGAGACGGTGAATGGATGACGTGTGATGTTAATCAGAACCAGCAAATCCGAAGAAGCAGTTTGTTCTGATGGGAACTGAAGGTGATGTCTTCACATTAAGCTTTGGTTAGGAGATTCATAAACACATTCAACGCCATTTGCCGGTCTACCTACCCTTCAGGAAGTCCCCTTTAGATCAGGAATGTTGAGGTCTAGCTTGACCTTCTCTGGAACCCAGCCGGTAGGAAAAGCTGCGGTTGCCGACCAGTCCAGTCTGTTAGATACTTTCGGGTCGCGACAATTTGTTGGCGTCTGGTGAGACCCGAGCCTGGGTCTTGATGGTTCAGCTTTTATTTTGAAAGGAACCGTTGCAGCAGTTGGAACAAAAACGAATTTTCCAGCTTGTCGTTGTTCTTTTGGTTAAAGAGGAAAGTTACAGATTGGCCACTCCGAAGCTTTCTCTAAAACACTTTGAACTGGCGTTAGAGATGACATGGGCATAGTTTTATACTTCGGATGTTATGGTTTATGGTCGAATGAAAAGTTGACAGGTTTTACCAAACACTATCAGAACCACGCCTCCGTCAGATCTGTCAGATTCTGATTGGATCAGTGAAAGTAATGTGTCATGTCTTTTTAACGCTACATGAAATCAGTCCTGTTGGAACATTCAAAGTCATAGTACCTTTATATTACATAGGATTATAATAAAGTAATTAATATTTTGATTTCACAGATCGGTCACATCTTATTTATTGACTAACACTTGGTTGGATTAGCTTTATTAAAATTGAGTTATTTGATTAATTAAAAGAAAAGAGTTAATTCTTCGTTCTGCTGTTGAGCTGAAAATAAGCAGGTTAGAAGCAAATGCATGAGACCTTGAGACCATATCTCATGCAGACTAGTCCTGTGCAGAGGAGGGGAAAAAACAGTCATTTCATTCTGTTACAATATGTATATGTATATAAGCTAAAAAGAAATAGAACTTAGGTTCATTGGACCAGACCCACAGGAGGTTTTCAGCCAATCAAAGACCAGATTAATACTGACTCTTATCTCCTCTGATTGTCTCCTGCAAAAAACGACACAGATGTTCTGCGATGATATAAATGGATCAGACTCACTTGCAGGGCAGGATTCGGACCACATCGTTCAGCTGGTACGCTTCTATACACACGGCACAGTGGGTGAAGTCTGGATCAATTTCCTTCAGCAGAAACACAGGAAAAACCACAGGTTTAAGTCATCCAGTCTCTGAGTGGTTCTGGGTCACAGTCGGGGCAGTGGTTTGGACTCCAGATGATTTAGAGCTCAAACTTTCCATTGACCTTTGATTCAACACTTAATAAAACAGAAGGACACATGGATTCATCAGAACAGAAAGGCAAAAAGGTTTAGCCTCTAGACTAAATTGTCTCCTGGTCCAGATAGGACCAACTGCATCCACCTGAAACTGTTCTCACTGCCTCTTCAGACCACTGAAACTAGGACACTCAATCCTCTGTACTTGCACACAGATCTGTGCGTAGGAACAATTTTATGCACAGTGAAATGCTCCTTAATATAGGAATAGCTCTGACCATGCGTGCAAACAGCATCTAATGGATGAACTGTGGAACCGCAATACTCAAGGCCTCAGTCATCCACACGTGTTCCTCACCCACAAAGGATATTTACCCAATAAGTAATTCTGTCTGTGGAGAAACAGCTTTATCTCATGATTGCTGTTATAACCTATAAAAGACACATGTGGCCGGCAAGAATTTGACATAGTAGCATGGCTGATCTTGTGTTATTGGAGGATTTGGCAGAGCGTGCCCTCCAGATGAAACGAGGCACAACTCAGATGCACCGATCTGCTCGGTGAGAATAGAAGAGAGTGAGTGGCTTCTGAGCAGATTCCACTTCAGGTGCTATGCCGTGAATAGGGACCCTTGATGGAGTGATAGAAAAACCACACAAATCAGATTTCAGAGTCCATTTTCAATTATGCCATTATAAATACTGTGACGTCATAAGGATGAAGAATCAGGCAGTTTGTTTGCTCTCTTGACTTATTCTTAGCTTCAACAAAAACAAAAGCTCAGCGCCACAAACAACCTGGGAGATCCCCCACGAGAACCCCTGAACTTCCTCACAGTCTGCCCCAACATACAGGTGTTTCCAAGGTAACGCACCTCTGTAAGTGTGCCTGAACTAAGCTGTGGCTACGCTGTAGCTCATCAGCAGCAGCAGCGTGTGAATGTGTGTGAATGTGTGAATGATTCACTACAGTGTGAAACACTTTGGAGTCCTCTGATTCGGAAAAGTGTTATACAAGTGCGGGTCATTTGTCATCATCATCATCATCATCATCATCATCATCATCATCATCATCATCATCATCATCATCAACTAAATGTGTGTGATGTGTCAGAGCAGGAAACGCCTGCCATGTGTGTTACCTTGTCTCCTTTCTTTACCGTCCTCGTTGTTAACTTCCCAATAGCTGTTTTTGCTGCATCGCCAAGACGCCGCTGATGGACAGAGACAACAGGGCATCAGACATCCAACCACAACAAAGCGTCTGAGGTGGGTCGAGCCTACAGACACACCTAAACATCCTGCTTGCAGTTTTATTTTGTAAAGCAGCTGCATGACTTCAGTGTTTGTTACAAAGTTAGAACAACAGACTAAAAAAAAAGGGACGATCCTTCATGCATGATGACTTTTAACATATCATCAAAGATTTGATGGGAAATAGTAAAGTAGAAGGAAAGGAAATTCTACTATGAACGTCATACTTCGTCGGACATAAAGGCATTGATTCCTAGGTGCAGTTTTAGTTCTGTGCGAGTTACTAGGTCCGCCACTAGTGAACTTTAGCCATTACCTGCCTTTAGGAATTCTTACGGCCAGAGGTCGTTCTTTTAAGCGTAGACTAAAGTTTGGAATGAATCTCCACATGACATAAGGCCAGCGCCAACATGACCTCAATTCAAAAGAAAATTCATCTCTCATCTGTTGGACAGTTTCCCCTGTAAACACTGTTGAAGGTGGAGTTACAACTTCTTGCAGCCTTTTTGGGATCATGGGTGTTTGCATGATTGCTTTGTGTTGTTTTAGTACGTATGCTTGCGAGGCTGCAGTTTGACGTTCTGCCGAACAGGAACCTGCTGAGGAACAGTTTCAAACGGAGTCAGGCCCGATTGTTTTTAATCTTTTTCTGTTTAATAAAGTTTTGAAATGAAATGAAAAGGGCTAAAGGACTCGGGGCAACACAGAATATCTACTTGGTGCAGATAAAAAAGCTAGCATTCCCACAATGTTCATCAGAGTTAGAAGACACCATTGTCGAAAGTTTTATTTATATCCTTCTTTGGCCCGAGATTCTGGTTCTGGACCTGAACCTAATGCTGCCCCACAAGACAAGGCTTGTGTGGTCCGCCGTAAGGCATCACCAGGTCAGAATTCTTTAACTACATTTGCAAAATAAGCTGCTGCTTATCTGAAGAAATAGGTCAAATTAGGTGTGAAAGCTTACAGCTAAGGGTTAAAGGTCTAAGCTCTGACTGAACGAGCTCTAATCGGGTGAGTAGGACCTCATTGTCCAACACATCATGAGGGCAGCATCAGCTGGTGTGTTAGCGTTCAAGCTACTCACCTGGCTTCGGTCACGAGAGCTGCTGTAACGGATCTTCTGGATGAAGTAGAAGATGAGCCAAGCTGATGAGATGATCATGAGGACAATGAAGGAGATGGAGACGAAGACCAGTGAACCACGATTGATGTTCTTAGTAGAACCACGTTGACCCACCACCACAGAGACCACAAGTGTCAGATTCCGGTCCAGGTGAGCCAGGATCTCTTTACCGTAGACCTCAGTGATCATCACGGCCACAATGTCACCGGTACCTGCACACAGAACCAGTCAGGGGAGAAACCTGTACATCTGCTTCTGCTGAGTTTCACAATAGTCCTTCAAAAACCACTTTACAATTTGGTTTTCCTGGAAATGAAAGCACTTTAGTTTTTTCTGATAATTTTCTGTACAATAAAATCAGCAGAAACAATAAAGAAATGTGTTTGATTGTTTATTTCTCAGTTTCTCAAACACTTTTTTGTTTTAAATCTGATATAATTGAAAAAACGGATTATCCACATTTACAACAAGGTAGTACGAGAATTGTAAACCCCACCGTAATCAGAAACACTTTTAACATTCCCACTGTGATCGGTTGTGCCCACTATCACACTTTATTCAATTTCTACTGTCAGGGGCCTCAGTAGTGTGTGCAAGATCAATACTCAGTCACAACAGCACTAACCCAAACACACACAGGACTATTACACTAATTTCCTTACTTTGTGTTAAGTTTATTTTTCAAACATTAAAATGTTTAAAAAATCACTAAAATCAGTTAAATTTCAGCAGTAAGATGTAAAAAAATAACAGACTATGGAATCTGATTGGTTTCTGATCTGGACCTGCAGCCTCTCAGTTGTGAGATTTAATGTTTTATCAAAGTCAGATGTCCTGAAATGGGTCATGCAGTCCTGTCTGATCCAGTATCTTTCTGTTCTGATCTTTGTGTTCTTGCTGCAGCATCATTTCTCTCACACACACACACACACACACACACACACACACACACACACACACACACACACACACACACACACACACACACACACACACACACACACACACACACAGAGGTCAGAGGGAGGCATCTAAATTTAGACCCATCAGACCTTCATCCTTGCCCATCCCAGTGGCCTGAGGTCAGTCCTGCACAGAACAGCACAAAGACCTGTTGGGAGTTATTCTGACCTTCATGGCCCATTTTGACGGTCTTGTCAGTGGAGTTGTTGTAGATCAGGACAGCAGTGGCATTGTAAGCAGCAGCCTTCAAGATCTTCTCTCTGAAGGTGCAGTTTCCTCTCTGCAGCAACGCCACCCAGTGGACAGTCCGGGGAGGGACCAGGAATCGAGTGTTAGGATCGCAGCCCTGCCGGTCCACCACTGAGGAAACAGTGTTACCATGGTTACTGCTTCACCTACATCATCCAACATGACAGCAGGGCTAAAATCAGCCTCCAACTCTAGAACAGGTAGCTGCATGTCTGAGTCCTGAAGATGAATCAATAAAATAAAATAGAAACAACATCAATAAGATAAATATAATAATGATAAAATTCTAAAACCATGCATATTAAGTTAATTGTCCCTTGGAATGAATGACTGGTTGTCCAGGTGTAGCCCCGCCTCTCATCTGATGACTGCTGGACATGGACAACAGCTCCTCCCAAGCTTTTTGGAACCAGTAGGTATAAAAAATAAATGAGTATAAATATCAATCAATAAATAACAAAAAATGATTTTTCCCCCCTGTGAGACTGAGATGAAAAAGCTTTGTTCTAATCCTCATCTATGTTTCAATAATAAACAAAACACATGATTGTTTATAAAGACAGAGACAGGTCAGTCCAGACATAGGACTGATGTCCATCCTTGTCCAAACATTGGACTGGTCTCTACACTGCTCCAGAATCTGGTTTATTGCCAGGTTAGTTGTTACACAAAGTTTTGTTTTTGTGTGTTTTGTACAAGAGACGGGGCATCAGTTATGAGGAGCTACTATGCAACTGGAAGGTTGCAGGTTCGAGTCCCACTCAGTCTTTCGCAGACACTTAACCTCCTTGATTGCTGGTGGTGGTGGTCGGAGGGGTGTTCAGCAGCTGTGGCTACATTGTAGCTCATCACCACCAGTGTGTGAATGTATGTGTGCATGGGTGAATGACTGATTGTGTTGTAAGGCACCTTGGGGGGGTTGTAGAACCCTAGGAGGTGCTAAAGAAATTCAGGTCATTTAACATTTACCATAAATATAAACAAATATAAACACATGAGCATATGACAGTGGACTGGTGTCTACTGGTCCTGAGCTCAGTCAACACAGCATTTGATCCTGTTGTTCCAAATATTCCAGTCTAGAGGCCTGAACATGAAGTTTAAGGACCATAGTATCCCTGTTCTTGATTGGCCAGCAACCTCTCCTGACCTTAACCCCATAGAAAATCTATGGAGTATTGTGAAGAGGAAAGATGCAATATGGCAGATCCAACAATTTAGAAGAGCTGAAGACCACTATCAGAGTAACATGAGTTCTCATAACACCTGAGCAGTGCCACAGACTGACCGACTCCGTGCCAGTAATCCAGTAGCCCCAACTTAATACTGAGTGCTGTACATGCTCAAACTTTCATGTTCATTCACTTGGCCAACGTTTCTAAAATTCCTTTTTTGCATTGGTCTTAACTGACTGTAATATTCAGATTCTGAATATGGGATTTTCATCAGTTGTCAATTATAATAATCAACATTAAAAGAAATAAACATTTTAAATATATCAGTCTGTGTGTAATGAAATAATAAAATATACACGTTTCAATTTTTGAATGGAATTACTTAAATAAATTAACTTTTCCATGATATTCTAATTTTATGACCAGCACCTGTGTAAGTACCAGGGACATTACTAAATGAGAAGAACTGCACCTGGTTTCACAGGAATGTGTTGGAGCAGAAATAGATGGATGAAGCTAATAGGGGCAAAATCTGACACTTGTCCAACTCTTTGTTTGAAATGCAATAAAAGTGACTGGGGGGGAAAAACATAATGTTTTGTTTTCTGTAGTTTTTATTAATGATTTCTGATGTCCTTGCAGAAACAGACATCATCAGCTGATCACAAACATCTAAGGTGGCTGTTTATGTAGCGAGCTGAACGGAGGGGGATGTTTCGACCACATATGGTAGCAGGATCATGTCTTTAAACACAAACACGTGAAATACCAGCACAAACATTACCTCCTGCCAGGTTTTAGATTTTATTTTACACGTTTTCTGCAGGTTAAACTTAAAACTGGACTTTAGGATCTGATGTCAGACTTCCCTCATCTTGCTTACTGGCTCTGCGTTCTGTGTTTAGAAACATGATGTTTTAGATTTGATATATGTCTGTTGTTCCTTAATCCACTACATTTAAAAAACAAGTTCAAAGTGCTGAACAATACAAAAGTATAAAATATATAAACACAAACACACATTAACAACAATCACAACAAAATCTAAACATAAAGAACAACAAGACTTACAAGCGCCACAGAGAGAAAGAAAATAAAATGAAAACTGAGGCATTAAAACAAACCAATTTATGTTGAAAGTCACCAGGAATGAATTTTTTAAAAGAGATTTAAAACAGGAAGTGACGATGCCTGATATTTGAAGAGACTCATTCATGAGTTTGGGGTCATGAATGAGAAAAGAAAAGACAGGGCTGGTGAGATGTGCTCATGTCTTATTAATCCAGACAAAAGACACACAGCAGCATCTTGAACAAGTCAGACGTACAAATACATAGTCTCTGACAACAACATTAGAAGTTTATGATGATGGAGATGAGTTATGAAAACTGTCTAGATTATTCTCTCTCAACAGAACTGGATACATTTAGTTGTAATGTTACATGCATGGATGTGACATGAGGGCTGGGGCCAGGATGGAAATCTCCACTGTGACACTGCAGCTCCTTCAGCAGCTCCATCAACAGCTGCAGTGTCCTTGGAGCGCCTGACTGTAATCTGACACCTCAGAGCAGACACACACCGTCCTTCACCGCCTGAAAACCTCTGCAGTGTCAGAGAGAAAACACAAACAGCTGCTGCTTCCACAGACTCACGACACAAAAAAGCTGCAACATCTACATTACAGAAACACAAAACTGTATCATCTGAAGTATAAATACACAGCTGAAACATCTAAAGTATAAAAACATACAAATGCAACTTCTAAAGCACAAAACCACACAGCTACAACATCTAAAGTACATAAACACACAGCTGTAACATCTAAAGTACATAAACACACAGCTGTAACATCTAAAGTACATAAACACACCGCTGTAACATCTAAAGTACATAAACACACCGCTGTAACATCTAAAGTACATAAACACACAGCTGTAACATCTAAAGTACATAAACACACAGCTGTAACATCTAAAGTACATAAACACACAGCTACAACATCTAATTTAAGTACATAAACACACAGCTGTAACATCTAAAGTACATAAACACACAGCTGTAACATCTAAAGTACATAAACACACAGCTACAACATCTAATTTAAGTACATAAACACACAGCTGTAACATCTAAAGTACATAAACACACAGCTGTAACATCTAAAGTACATAAACACACAGCTACAACATCTAATTTAAGTACATAAACACACAGCTGTAACATCTAAAGTACATAAACACACAGCTGTAACATCTAAAGTACATAAACACACAGCTACAACATCTAAAGTACATAAACACACAGCTGTAACATGTAAAGTACATATACACACAGCTACAACATCTAAAGTACATAAACACACAGCTGTAACATCTAAAGTACATAAACACACAGCTGTAACATCTAAAGTACATAAACACACAGCTGTAACATCTAAAGTACATAAACACACAGCTACAACATCTAAAGTACATAAACACACAGCTGTAACATCTAAAGTACATAAACACACAGCTGTAACATCTAAAGTACATAAACACACAGCTGTAACATCTAAAGTACATAAACACACAGCTGTAACATCTAAAGTACATAAACACACAGCTACAACATCTAAAGTACATAAACACACAGCTGTAACATTTAAAGTACATAAACACACAGCTACAACATCAAAAGTACATAAACACACAGCTGTAACATCTAAAGCACAAAACCACACAGCTGTAACATCTAAAGTACATAAACACACAGCTGTAACATCTAAAGCACAAAACCACACAGCTACAACATCTAAAGTACATAAACACACAGCTGTAACATCTAAAGTACATAAACACACAGCTGTAACATCTAAAGTACATAAACACACAGCTGTAACATCTAAAGTACATAAACACACAGCTACAACATCTAAAGTACATAAACACACAGCTGTAACATTTAAAGTACATAAACACACAGCTACAACATCTAAAGTACATAAACACACAGCTGTAACATCTAAAGCACAAAACCACACAGCTACAACATCTAAAGTACATAAACACACAGCTGTAACATCTAAAGTACATAAACACACAGCTGTAACATCTAAAGTACATAAACACACAGCTGTAACATCTAAAGTACATAAACACACAGCTGTAACATCTAAAGCACAAAACCACACAGCTACAACATCTAAAGTACATAAACACACAGCTGTAACATCTAAAGTACATAAACACACAGCTGTAACATCTAAAGTACATAAACACATAGCCGCAAGTTCTAATGTACAAAAACACACTGGCGCAACAACTAAGTACAGAAATACAAAGCTGTAATATCTAAGTAAAGCTGGTGTGTGTGTGTGTGTGTGTGTGTGTGTGTGTGTGTGTGTGTGTGTGTGTGTGTGTGTGTGTGTGCGTGTGTGTGTCCTCAATCTCAGTGAGTTAGTTTTCCTCTCCACTGTCGCTAAATGCTTGCATAATATGAGGATTGCTGTAAAGACTCTGACACTAGTCAGTGACTCGATGCATTCTGCTAGGTTCCTTATATGGAAACGTTTTACTGATTGGTTTAATGGATTGAACTGTATTGAATTGTTTACTGTGTGAAGTGCCTTGAGACGACTATTGTCGTGATTTGGCGCTATATAAATAAACTTGAATTGAATTGAATAAACATCTAAGTAGAAAAACACAAAGCTGCAATATCTAAAGTACAGAAATACACAGCTGTAACATCTAAGTAAAAAAAAACACAGCTGTTACATCTGAGTACAAAAATACACACCTTCAATCTCTAAAGTACACAAACACACAGCTGTAACATCTAAAGTACTGATGTGAAAATCATAAATACAGACCAGTAACATCTAAATTCATAAAACACACAAAGCAAAACCTAAAAGACACACAGCTGACACAGCATCTAAAATAAAAGGCACTTAACTGCAACATCTAAAACACTGAAATGTAATTATGCAACAATAGGAGCCAAAGTCACGTGCCTCTGTTTCAGGAAATGGCTATAAACCTTGTTTATGTGATTCTACAGTCCAGGAAATGGTTTCACGACCAGATTTATGTGATTATTTAGTCCAGAACTTGTTCCGCATAGACATGTTTATATTCTGTGGTCCAGTCTGACTCACAGTTCTGATACCAGTTCTATACCGTCCACATTGGAATCTTTCATCAATATAAAGTTCATGATGTCTAACCACACTGGGGACAGTCTGCTGGACATAATTTACACATGCCCCTTATTCATAATTTTTAGTTCATAGCATCACACCAAGGAGACATAAAGATAGAAACTGTCAGCAGAACCGAAACAGCCACTCTGAATCAGCTACGAGGACACCACGAGCAGCTGGAGCTGTCCATCTGTCCAACCCAGATTTATAGATTTTTAGCTATAGAGCAGAACATCTTGAGACGTCTTTGGGTGTCAGAGCAGGAACAGAAATATGATAACTAGAGGCAGACTGATATTTCAGGCCAATATTTACTGTTTTTTATATTTCGACAGGGCGATATTTGTCCTTAGTAAAGCCGATTTAAAGTCAGGCACTTCCTTGGGCAGCATGGTGCTGTTGCAGAATTTAATTTAGATTTTACATTCACTAATAACATCTGCAAAATAAATACTCTAACTTTATTTAGGTGTCTGGCTTTAACACTGAGCAGTGCACAAAGTTAAGATTTAACAGTTGGTTAAATTCAGCATTCAAAAACGTACGCAGCTTCTGAAATTCTGTGCATCAACTGGTGTTACTAATGACGTTTTAGCATGAAAATAAGGTGGAAAACATCTGAATATTGGCCATGAAAATTGGCCCATAAAAATAGGGAGTACACATCGGCATTGGCTGACAGTGTCTCCTAGATATCTGCATCATAGTGATGCACAGATATGAAATTTTTGGGCCGATACCGATATTAAGATCACTGTTACGGCCGAGAACCGATATACTGACATTAATGCTTCTAAAATCGGCAGATTTTGTATAAAATGAAAATTATTAAAGCTTAATTTACATTATTATTTACAAACAACACACATATTTACAGTTCTGAGATTATTTCATTTTCTGTTCACATGACTAAACAATTACATATCCCCCACCCCCCACCCCACCCTCTGAAACAGGCAAACAAATGGAGACGAGATGGAAAAAATATCGGTTGTTCAGCCCGGTTTTGTTTATCAAACGGATCCCGATATGTTAAAAAAAATGACTAACATCGGCCGATACTGATATTGATGCCGATATACTGTCTATCCCTGCTGCATCTGCAAGAGAAAAACCAATATCGATCAACCTCTAACGATAACGTGGGGAAAACTAGAACTGGAGCAGGTTTTAAAGGGATATTCCACCCAAAATTGAAATTTTGTCTGTTGACATATTTCCCAGAGTTAGATAAATGGGAAAAAAACATAATTTTTAACCAGCCCAGTCATTCTCCTGACTCAGCTGTACTCCTTTAGCTTTAGCTTACCATAAAACACAGTCAGTAGATGGATCCAACTAGCGTTGTGAATAAAAAGGTCCTAAAACTCTCTCAGTAGTGATCTTATTTCTTATTCTTATTCAATGCTAGTTGGATCCATTCACTTACTGTGTTTTATGCTAAGCTAAAGCTAAAGGAGTACAGCCGGGTCAGGAGAATGACTGGGCTGGTTACAAATAGTTTTTTTTTCTACTTATCTAATGCTGGGAAATGTGTCAACAGACAAAATTTCAATTTTGGGTGAAATATCCCCTTAAAGGCTTTGTTGAGGCTAGATGGACAATAACAAATGAAGCTGACAAGACAAAACCCTTGAATCGGTTGGATTTGTGTCTTGTGTCTGACTTAATGAACATCAACATGAAAGAAAACAAAACTGTCCAGAGCTGAGCTGATTGTTGTCCTAAAACTTAACAAACACTAACTGACACAAGGAATGAACACAGACAGATGTTTCCTGAGGTGTGTGAGAGTGTTGGTACCTCCGTGATGCGGGGCAGGAGCTATGATGGCGCCTCTAGTGTCCACTTTAGGAGAGTTCTCTCCATATGTCCCATCATCGCTACTCATCATGTGGACAACATTTCCACGTGTGTCCATCACCGTGACATTCACTGTGGCATCCACAAACTCCTCTGAGAAGTTCCTGTCAGAGCGGGCCGCCGACACGGGGCAGGCCTGGATCACAATCTGAACCAGTACCAGAACTGGGACTGGGACAGGGAGACGGGTCCATGTGTGGCACGCCATGTTGTTTTGGTTCTTGTTACATTGAAGCTGTGAAGAAGGAAAAGACAAGACCCAGAAGATTTAGGTGTCATTAAAGGCTCTGTAACTGGTCCTTTAGCATCTCCATCAGGTCTATGATTGCCCCATTTTGCCTAAATGTCTCTATCTGATCCCATCTGGTTCTTGACCGTCTCCATCTCATTCCTGACTGTCTTCATCTGTGATGTGGATGTTCTATCTGGTCTCTGATCCCCCTGATTGTCCCATTTGGTTCCTGGCAGTCTCTTCTGGTTCCTGGATGTCTTACCTGGTCTCCGGTGGTCTCTGTTTGATCCCTGATTGTCCCCTATGGTCCTTGATCATCCTTAAGCTGCTACTGGATTAATTGGGACAAAGTTTATTTGTTTATTTTAAATTAAACACAAAAGGTCTGTACTGACTGTCTCTTTGTGGTCTCTGACTGGCTATCTGGTTTATGATTGTTCCATGTGGTCCTCATTTATCCCTTCTGGTCCCTGGTTGTCCTGTCTGGTCCTTAATTATCCCGCTGGTCCCTGATTGCTTGTCTTTAACAAATGTCCTGAGGTGAATAAACATGTATTTCCTACCAAGCCTTTATTCTCTCCATCCCTCAATGTAATATCATGATTTTTTGGATCGATTTGCTCTAAAATGTTTTTGTATTTTTTTCCTTCAGTTTCTAGTCTGTCCCTTAAAGTTATTTTTCCAAGACTTACATCGTCTCTCACCTTCAGATATTGTCTCTTGTCCAGGAAGTCTTCAGAATTAAGCCCAGATGTTATATTTTGGCTCTAGAATACTTGCATCGGTCTCCGTTTTCTCCCCAGATGTGTTTTTCGGATATCTTCCAGATGTGTGACTCTATGCAGAAATCCTCCAGATTTTACCAACGTAAACCCTGGGTTCAGTCTGACAGGTGAGACATCACCTTTGGGGACACCAGGATGGTCCTGAGAAGCGGTTCTAGACCAACATCTGGATGGATTTTCTTCAGATGTCCGTTAAATCGTTTGAGGCTTCACCGCAGCTCGGTGACTCGGCTGTTAGCATCTCAGGCGACTGCTTCCTTCCGTTTTGGCTCATTGTCCTCGGACGGACAGACCGCTCCAGACTCCGGTTGCACTGCAGTCCCGGTTAACAGATCGCGGTTCTGGGTGGTTGGGTCCGGATGTTTGTTGTTGTTTTGATCAGATTAGGCGCCTATGAGAGAGACGATGAGGAGTTCCAAGCCCCGTTAAGTCTGGAATGCACTGCGCATGCGCAAGGCTATATCTTCTACTTATCTCGCGAGAAGGTTTTCAAAACCGAGATAAATATGATCCCTATGATTCATCCTCGCGGATTAATTAAACGCAGAGTGAATCAGACACTCACAGTCGGTTTTGCACTTGCTACGCAGGTTTGACAGTCTGCAAGAAGAACAATTCAATTTCAAGTTTATTTAAGCACCAAATCACGACAAGAGTCATCTCAAAGCACTTCACATAGTAAACATTCCAATACAGGTCAATTAATTAAGCCAATCAGAAAAAAGGTTTCCTATATAAGGAATCCAGCAAATTGCATCAAATTGCACTTTACAGCAATCCTCATATTAAGCAAGCATTTAGCTACAGTGGAGAGGAAAACTCCCTTTTAACAGGAAGAAACCTCCAGAGGATCCAGGCTCAGTATAAGCCATCGACATACATATATGGACAATGGGTTTCCATAGGCTCCAATAACACATTTTTGAAGATAAATGGGAGGTGGCCACCACCGCCATTTTGACCATGTCACAGGTTCCGTCAAGCCCAGACAATTCCATAAAAGGGAAGAGAGGTGGAGCTGAGGGTGGGGCTGTAAGGCTGGGATCGACTGACGACACCCGGTCGAACTAGCTACAAGCTAACCTGAAACTAACCCAAAGCTAATGTGGAGGTGGGAGCTAAGCTAACCAAGGTAGCAACCTAGCTACAACCGGAGTTAACTGTGCACAACGCCAGAGCTTCTGAGTCAGAGACAGGGGCGGATTCAGGACTGAAGAAGATCCGGGGCTTAACACACGCGCACACACGCGCGCGCACACACTTGACATGCACTAGACAACATCATATATATATGTCTTGTACCACATAATTTTTAATCTGAAGCTACATATTCAGGGCAGAGTATTGTTCCTGTTAGTGTTTAGTGTGAGATGACAGTAAATATTCCCTTTCTTTCTCCATCAACTTTACCTGATAGTAAGCTAACTTTAGGCAAACCAGCAGCACAACAAATATTTTCAAATAAGACCCACAAACCTGAGTCAACACCAGTCTCATCAAAGCTGGGGTTCTGTCAATGTACTTTTTGTCTAAAAAAACATCCTTATGTCCATCTTCACTCATGCGTTTCAGGCAGAGTGTAGAAGAAGCCAGCTGCTGAAGGGCTTCTTCTTCAGTGGTGGAGGCTCAGGCAGGCTGTATACAAACTACTGCCAGCTGCGCCCTCTATGTTGGACTTTGGTACTGCATGTTACTTCCGCGATTTAGATCCGGGGCTTATCATGAAAGATCCGGGGCTTCAGCCCATGTAGCCGGGCCTAACGCCGCCCCTGGTCAGAGATACGCCGGGCTGACCGCTGGGTAAAACCGGGTGGAACACAGAGGTCTCCGAGACCTCCAAAAGCCGGCAGCCGCACAGCAGACAAGCGCCGCTGCGATCTGAGATGTGCAGAGCTGCCGCTGGGGAGAACCGGGTGGAAAGGTTTCCATCCCAGAGCTCCACAAGCAGTCAGCCCGCGCAGCAGACAGGAGCCGCAATCGGACAGAGATGCGCCGAGCTGCCGGGAGACCCAGCCATCAGCCCACGCAGCACACAGAGGCCGCGATCAGACAGAGATGCGCCGAGCTGCTGGGAGACCCAGCCATCAGCCCGCGCAGCGCACAGAAGCAGCGATCAGACAGATGCGCCGGGCTGCGGGGAGGCGAGAACGGGTGGAAAACAGAGGTCTCCCGAGAGCTCCACAAGCCGATAGTCAGAACCCAGCCCCACCAACATGTTATATTTCAACCCATTTTCTAAAGTGCAGCATTATGTTAAATGCACTGGGTTTTATCCTATTACATTTAAATTTCATGGTTAAACAGTACATGTTAAAATCTAAGCTCAGCTCAGCAGTGACCTAAAATACATAAATATAATTTTACTTACCGAAAAAAATGAAGTGGAGACTCCTTGGACGCTCTATTAGTGCAATTAATGCCACAGCAAGTCATTTTGTCCAACAATTGCACAAATAATATCCAAAAAAGAATACACAAACACAGAGACTCAAAATCCCGGAGCAGTTTCCAAGCCAGACCGAGGCTCTACTGAGGCCTTTCTACGGAGCTAGCTCTGTGGTCACGTGGGTCTGATGCTCATTAATTATACAGAATTTTAGGCTTTTAATACACTTAAACAGAAGAGTGAGAAAAAAATTCACCCCCCTCAGAGTTGTCATGAGTGTAAACTAGATCATTTAAACAAAAAACATGTTCTGGTACCAGGCTGTAAACATGTTTATTTCTACTCTGAAATTGGTATTTTTAACATGGGAGTCATTGAGGACTTGCTCGCTTCTGACACCAGCCCCCAGTGGATGAGGGTGGAACTGCAATTTTTGGTACTTCCGGGTTGAGACCAATTTTAGAGACGCATTGTGGGGGCTTGGTATAAGCCATCGACATACATATACATACAGATACAGAGAATCCTGGCTCAGTATAAGCAGCCATCCGCCACAACTCACTGGGGACGGAGAAGACACAGCAGACACATTTATACACCAACACACACACACACACACACACACACACACACACACACACACACACACACACACACACACACACACACACACACACACACACACAACATGTATAACAAGTAGTGTTTCTATGTTTACATTGTGATTTCTAAGTAAATATTTTATTTGGTGAGAAATAAACTTTATTGTATTCATCATAGTGAATCTATAATCAAACGGGTAAACTATTAGTAGAACATTCAATGTCAAAGAAAGTAAAATGTTATCAGAAGAGGGAGAATGTTTAAGTGGTTAGCAACAGTGTTCAAACCGATGGCCCCCTCCATGAGGCTACCACAGCTCAGCAGAACTGTAGCTTTTTCTGGGGAGAAAAACACTTAGAGAAAAAATAAAGTTAACAGCTGAAATTGCAGGAAAAAATACAGTTAAAGAGAAAATTGTAGAAGAAAGTAGTCGAGCGTGGAAAGTGGTCAGTATGTCCTCCAGCAGTCTTAGTCTATAGCAGCAAATCTATAACTCTGGATTACCTAGCCTTTTAGATGGAGGCATGTTGGAGGCAGGGCAAGGGAGAGCTATCTTTACCGAATGTTCACTCCACCTCCCTCTACTCCCCCACTTGTCCAGATTTAGGCTAACATCCAATTTTAACCATAGGCCCTATCAAATAAAAAGATGTGTAAAAGATAAAAAAAATCTATTATAGTAGAATGTTATCATGGTCTGCGTCTGCGTCTCCCCTCATGTGTCTCCTTGTGTTCTCCATCCCTCTCTAGGTTCTCCTTTTGTGTCTCCTAGCGCCCTCCTGTGTCCTTGTCTGCGTCTTCCTCATGTGTCTCCTGAAGTTCTCCATTTTTCCCCAGATCTTCAGCCCTCTAGGTTTCCCTCCTCAGGTATCCCCCTCCCAGGTCCTGTGCTCCCGTGGCCCCCTTTAGTTACGCCCCTGTAGTTTTTCTTTCTGTAGTGTTTTTCCTTTAGTTTCAGCTCCCCCCTTAGAATATTAGTTATGTTTGCTGCCTTTCTGGTCTTTAGGTTTTTCTCTTAGGTCATTTTCCTTTAGCTACAGCTGTTCATCTTATTAGTAAGTAAGTAAGTAAAAGTGTATTTATAGAGCGCCTTTCACAGATATAAATCACAAAGCGCTGTACAACATGAGTAAGATCAGGGCAAATACCTCTGTAGCGTTATGGTTTATGCTCTTTTATGAAAGAGGAACCATTCTACATATTAATTTGTGATATTAATTTTATTAAATTAATAACCAAATTGTATAGTTTTAAGAAGACTCAAAGGTTGTTTTCATCGATAAACTGACGATAATATCCGTGTGTCTGTGTTTCAGCTCAATGAAGAAACAAGTTTGAAAGTTAAAAGTTTTACTTCTTCAAATTAAACTAATGATTTTGAAATCACAAGCAGAGGAACATCAATCAACATTGGCAACTTTGTTGAACAATCTTTAACAGTTGATATTGTAAGCTTGCACAAATAGACCTTGTGGTGAATGTGTGAAGATTGAACATGAGGTGAGCTGAGTGCGTGTGTGTGCGTTAGATTTTGCTTCAGGAAGAAACAGGTGTCTGAGTGAACGTGATGTTTTGGATAAACTTAGGTCTTATTGGAAAAGACGCATCAAACGTTATCTGCCGTGGACTGCCTCACCTAAAGTCGGACCCTCTTTTAGATCCGGGACGCCAGAGGATGGTGATGTTTCATCCAGGTGACACCAGCGGCTGGCAGAGGAGACGGAGATGTCCGCGACCCGGTCCAGAGATGCCCGCGGTACACGTTGATGGAAAAACGTTTGCAGATGCGTTTTCTTAAGCTTAGTTTACTCAGAAATCAAAGACTCGAGGCGAGTCCGCGTTAGTTGTTGCAATTCAGCTATTCCTAGGAATAGCGTGGGGGGAGAAATGAGCCGATCGGCTCGGTCCCCCCTTTTGCATTTATTCAGGTCTCCTCTCTTTCGTTGTCAAGCACGAACTGAATCATAACTGAAACTTACCAAAAGCCTTTCTCTTCTCAAAGCAAAACGTGTGCGTCAGCAAATGTGTTTTGGAGTTTACTGTGAGAGCAGATGTGTGTGTGTGAGTGTTTGAGTGTGTGAAGGTCACCACTAAAACATCCTCAGAACATTATTTAATTAAGCAGTGATTCATTAGTTATTATGATTATCTAAAGCATAATAATCATTCATTTGATTAAACACATTTATAATGAGCAAAGTGATAATACTGATCATTTAACAACTTAAAATAAAGGAAAGGAAGTTTGTTATGTTATGACTACTTTTCCATGAGAACACATCTTCTGGCGCTGCAGGTGGCAGATGTTATGGTTTCCAGCAGACTCTTGCAGACTTCATGTCTGCAAAGGTCTCAATCTGTGGGTGAAAGTTCTCAGCGACCCAGCACTTGACCCAGCCGAGTCAAATGACCTTTGGCACAGAAAACCCATATTTCCTCACGTTACATTCCCCCCTTTCGCGACG